GTTGTGAAAACTGAAAGCTTCATTGCTTAAATGGTAAAATTAGAAATAATCTAAGAGAAGGATTGACCATTCTTTTTTTTTAATGCCATGGCAGATGCAAATTTTCGGTTTTGATGTCTATTTTTGAGGACCTAAAACAAGGCTTTTAATCAATGTATTATACATCAAAATTGATACTGTTAACTTCTGATTATTCAAATTAATAAAATATTCATAGAGTAATGTCCAAAGTTTTACATTTCTCAGACCCTCCCCCCCATTAATTATCATGCCTAGAAGCTTTTTAGTAAAAGCAGCAGTCATCAGGCTGACGGAATCTGACAGGCCAGCAAGGCCCAATTACACTGGTGTTCTGTGGCACTTTGATGTCCTGGAAACGAAGAGAGATAGGGGCAAATTGGGTAGCACATTATGTTAATGACTTGATTTAATCCAGCCACTAAACTTTATGTAGCCTGTTAAAAAAGATGCTAACACTAATTATGCCACTTTGGAAAGGAAAGGAGGGGACAAGCATTTCACTCTGACAAAGTGAAGCTCATAAATGTTGTAAATGAAATGAAACAAAATGAAGTAATCTATGATTAATTATACATCACAGACATGAAGAAAAGAAGAAGACCCAAGTAATATGCCTAAGTCTTGGGAAATCTGTTAGATTCCTTTTAAGGATCAACATTTCTAAGAAGTAACTAGGAGCTGTCAGATTTTGTAACATGAAAAAAAGAAACTGAATGATCTCAAATTGCTTACATACTGTAGCAGATAATTCAAATTCATAGTGTAATTGGCATAAATGAGTTTATCTAGGACACTACTTCCTGTCTCAAGTTGTGACATTAGGGCTATAGCTAAAGAAAAATTTAAAAATCTCTACAAAGTGGAGATAACCACAGAGTAGGGTTATTTAATTACTTTTTACCTAGTCTCTGTGGTTTTAATCTATTCTTTACATTATTGATAGCATGATTTTTAAAAATGTGATTCAAGAGTGTAAACTCCGTAAGAGCAAGAGACATTTCTCTTACTCACTGCTAATTCCCAATCCCTAGAACAAGGCTTGGAACACAGATGCTCACCAAATACTTGTTTAATGAATGACTGATCTTCTTCCCCCTCCCTTAAAAATCCTCACTGGCTGTTTAAAGAACTTCAAGGTAGACTTCAACCTCGCAGATGATACAGAGAGTCCTCCACGCTCCGGACAGGCCTGTTTTTCCAGCATAACCTCTGAGGCTCCCCACGTGTGCCACAGGCTTGGCCCATCCTGATACCATTCTGATTCCCAGAGCAAGTCATGCTCCACATTCTCTCAAATTCTCATGCTTTTGTTCCTTTGGCCTATAATGACCCCACTTCTGCTTTCACTAACTCTTAGCCATCTTCGGCACTTGGCTCAAGCTTCACTGAGTCTAGGAAGTTGCCCTTGATGAGGGGCCCTCAGGCTGAGTGAGGCACCCCTCCTGAATGCTCCCACAGCACCCTGTGCATTCCCTTCTCCTAGCTCTGACCACTGCACTGTAACTGTTTCCCCGAGACTGAATTCTTTGAGGCTGGGTTTTGCTTCTCATATTACACAGAGCAGATGCTGATGAGTGAAGAATTATTGTGAGAACTAAAGGAGGTATTACACAGAATGTGCTTAGCAAATACTGGCCATTCAGAAATGCCTCCCCTTCCAATGAAAGCCATGCATTACTGTCTTGAGATTTCTACCTGAAGTAGTTCTTAAAGAGGAGACAGAAGGAGAAACTAATGAGCCACAAATATTTTTACGCTTAAAAAGTTAACATCATCAACAGTCAGACAAAATGACATCCTGGGCCTCCTGGTGTCATACACTGAAAAGTACAGAGCATTGCTCCTGTAGGATTCCTACTGAAAGCAGGAACCTGAATCTAACATGGGGACGAATCCCGCAAATCCAAATTGAAGGATATTCTATATTATAAATGGCCTGCATTCTTAAAAAATGTTAATGTTACGAATGCAATGAAAGGCTGAGGAATCATTATGGATTAAAGGAGGCTAAACAGACATGAATGCAGTGTGTGATCTGGATTTGATCCTGTAACAGAACAAATAAAATGCTGTAAATGAAAATACTGGGAACGTGGCAAAATTTTAATGAAAACTATAGAATAGATAATAGCATTATATTATTATTGTGAAGTATTCAGGGGTAAAGGGGCATGCTTTCTGCAAATCTCAAATGATTCATTATAATTACGCATGTAAGAATGTGTGTATATAAATACATATATATTGCACATATATAGGGAGACAATAGATTTGACTAAAAACAAAAAACAAATATAGCAAATGTTAACAACTGACGAATCTGAGTGTTTTCAGGAGTACTTTGCACCACTTTTACAATCTTTGTAGAAAAAGGTTCCATGACATATTAAATGATTTGCAAAAGTAGCACACAGGAAAGCTGGTACACTTGAAAATGTTGTATTTCCCCATTATGATGATCCCTTGAGTTTTGTTCCTATGCTTACAGATTATGCTATTTTACTGTATTTGTTATAAAATTGAACAAAACTAAATTTCACCTATTAACATAAGAAGATACTGGTCAGTACCTTCTACTAAAAGCAGCATTTTTAAAAGCACATGGGAGCTGATTAATGGCTACCAAGGAATAAGGCATTGTTTAGAATAGTTGCTTGCTTTAAGTGATATTCACACTTTTGAGATAGCATCTAAAACTGTTCTAGGAAATTACATTTTGGAATGGGAGTGGAGGCTGTATTTTAGCAAAGTAACACAAATTACTTTCCTGGAAGTAATAAGGGAAAAAAACCCAGTTTACTCCAAAGGAAAAATATATGTGTACATTAGAGTTAGTTGAACATTTTAGAGGAATAGTTCTTTCACTAAACTTTGTTAAATCAAAGTTCTTTATTCTTAGTTAAGAGCATCTCCACTGAGATGCCAGCTATGTTGTCAATATACACATGATTCTGCTGAAGGTCTGATACAGGATTTCTCAACCTCAGCACTATTGCCTTTGGGCCGAACAGTTCTTTGTTATGGGTCCTGTGCTTTCTGGCGTGTTTAGCAGCAACCCTGACTTCTATCCACTAGATGCCAGTAGCAGTCCCTCCCAGTGTGACAACCAAAAATGCCTCCAGACTGCCAAATGTCCCCTGAGGGACAAAACTGCCCAAGTTAAAAATCAGGAGTCTAAGCTGATATAATTTAGATAACACTTTCCCATGCTTTGAAAGTTACTTTTAGATGATGAATACAATCTTTAGACAATAAAATTATCTGCTGCAACGTCTCCCTAGTATCTGTTGGATAAAATCCAAAACATTTAGTCTTCTCCATTGTACCTGAAAGCCTTCTATCCCTTTATACAGAAAGGCTGCTCTAGTCTTCAGGCAAGATTCCTTCCTTGATTTATCAATTTTGAACAATAAAGATTCCATGTATCAGGAGGCTATAGGTTAGATGATGTTGTTATAATTAATAATTATATTATAATAATGATAATAAAACTTTGGATAGATGAAATGTTCTGTTTTTATTTATCAAGCACAGAAACTATGGATTTCTCTATTTTATGGATGTATCTGAAAACTGAAATTTTCTGTGGGTTTGTTCTGCAAAGAGGTTAAGCTAAGAATGTGAGTTTTGTATTTTTTAAGTTAACTTTTTAAAAATTGTCTTAAAATTTATTGGTGGTAGTTCTTCAAAACATTTCTGTACCTTATAAACACACAGTTCCAATTTAAGGTTAAGAAAGTTATTATCATGTTCTCTCTATAGTCTATTGTCTTTTTGCACACACCCTCTTTAATTGCCTGAAATTGTTTTTTCTTTCTATTGAACTACAGTTGATTTACAGTATTATGTTAGTTTCAGGTATACAGCAAAGTGATTCAGTTATATATTCCTTTTCAGATTCTTTCCCATTATAGGTTATTACAAGATATTGAATATAATTCCCTGTGCTATAACAGTAAATCTTTGTTGTTTATCTATTATATATATATTGGTGTGTACTTGTTAATCTCCTATGCCTAATTTATCCCTCCCAAGAATGTGAGATTTTAAGAGTTGAAATAAGTATTGCAATTTTTACAAATACAGTAGAAATTCTAAAAAAAGATTACAATTAATCATTTCAGGAAAATTAATGTAGATGAATAGAAGAAATTAGGGCTTTTTATTTTACTTACATTTTCTTTACAAAAACTTTTCCCACCCTCACAATGAAAAATGCTCTGGTAAGTGGTACCTATGTAAATTAAAGTATAATTTTCTTTTCAAAATTTCAGTTTACATACTACTTTTCAGCAATGTGCTACAAAACAAGAAAGCATACCTATATGAAATTAATTACCTTCTAAGAAGATTTAATTTTTTGGCACAATGAAGTAACTTTAACAGCTTATCACTGGACATATTTAGATATGAAGAGTCTTTGAATTCACATATGTAAATTATTATAGTTTTAGATGCAATCTCACATTTTGAATTCTTTAAAGCTCAAGTGATTTAACACATCTTGTATAATGGTTCTGAGGAGTGAGATAAGTCAACTCGTTTCCACAAATGTCTACTGAAGCTACTGATGTTAGGTACTCTTAACACGTTAGCATTATTTTTGCAAAATGCTTTTAGTAGAAACAAAGAAAATAAAAACATAGCTTGTTCTAGCATGAAATTAAAAAAAATTTTTAAAGAGAATAACATGGTAATGTTTTCTGACAGCCTAACCAATATTATTGTATAAAAATCAAGTTAAAAACATTAAAAAAAATTTTTGCAAAAATAATGCTTACATGTTACAGGCCATTACATAACGAAACTGTAAACCAAATGTCCTTGTACTAGATGATTCCTTGGATAAGATTATGATGATATATTAAAAATTTTCCAGAAATATTTTGCTTTAAGATCTTCATATATGAAGACTGATATACTATGAATGAAAAGCAACCTTATTTCAGAACATTTCTGGTTGATATAAGGTTACTGACCTGTTTGATACTGGAGATAGGACCTGGAATAATACATTCATCACTGTCAGAAGCTGATCTGTCTCCTACATCTGTTAAAAAATACAATTTTATTGGTTTAAATCTGTTAAACCAATTATATTTGTGCCTTGTGAAATGGAGAGAAATAAGCTTACATTATAAGGATAACCTTAAAAGAACAATATGATAATCATGTTTGGATTCTTTTTAGCAGCAAAGATATTTACATTTACATTACATTTTAGAAAAGAGGAAAAACTGACCAAAAATTCTGAGTTTAGTTTTAGTAGAAACAAAGAAAATAAAAATATAGCTTGTTCTAGCATGAAATTAAAAAAATTTTTTCTAAAGAGAATAACATGGTAATGTTTTCTGACAGCCTAACCAATGCTATTATGTAAAAATCAAGTTAAAAACATTAAAAAAGTTTTACAGCTTTATTGCAGTAATATTCCCAAATAATAAAACACACAAATTTAAAGTACAAAATTCATAATTTGAGAATACATATTTTGACAAATATCTAATTCTGTGAAACCATCACCACAATTAAGATAGTGAACGTCGCCCCCAAAAGTTTCCTCCTGCCCCTTGTAATCTCTTTCCTTCTGCATCTTTCTATTCCCATCCGTTCTTCCCTAGGCAACCACTTAAATGCTTTCTGTCACTATAGATTAGTTTGCCTTTTCTAGATATTTATATACATTAAATCATGTTGTTAGTTGCCTTCTTTTTGGGTGGGGGGGGGTCTGAGTTCTTAGTTTTAATTTTTAAAAAGTCAAGTCCTGTAGAATAATCCAGATAACAGTTCTGAACCCAAAGAGAATATAAAGCCATTTAAAGTATCAATTGGAACATGGCCAGCAATAATACTTGCATTCTGTGGTGCTGTTCCAAGTTGAAATAAGGAGACATGCAACAATTCCACCTGACATAGCTGACCAGACTGAACTATACCCCATCATTTCTGTCAAGAAACAGCTATCATTAAATAGAGTCGCTATTAAATGAAGATGCTCTATGAGGCATGTGTGCTCAGACAGATTAACTAAAGCAGAGTTGAGTATAATTTTAAAAAGAAAGTCACCTTCTGGTTCCAGTTCTTCAGTTATTTCTGTTTCATCTTCAGAAGAAGTCAAACTTCGTTCTGCAAGCTGACCCTCAGATAGTAAAGACACATCATCGTTTTTCCCTTGTTGCATTATCTCAGTGTTTTCCTTTACCTTACCTACACTGCTTTCCTGAGAAACCTGAAGAAACACAAGCACACTGATATATTATCCTTAGATCACATTTATAGCATTCTTACACCTGAATGATAATGAAGCATGTCAATATACAGACATGCAATATACATATGATTCATTAGAAAGTAATCCTTAAACTGGCAAATAAAAATTTGCAGATAAATTAAAATCTGATTATAAACTAAGAATTAAAAAGCATTAATCTCAAAATGAATTTTACATTATACTTTAATTCACATATGTATTTACTACTACTGCCTGCATAATTGTAGCTGTTACACTTGCCATATTTTTGACCTTTCTATTCCAAGGACATCATATATAAAAATAGGATAAATGATATGATTTCTTGACCCATGTCAGAGCAAAGACAAAGTCTTTCAAAAACAAATTAAACCCTTCAAAATAATTTTAATACAAGCACATACCTCAGGAATATGTGAAATAGTTGGCATATTAATTTCTGTTTCTGGCGTATGTTCCACTTCTGGTGAAATTTCCTTTGTATCTTTAGCAGGAATAGAGGTCTCCTTATATTAATGTGAAAACATGCATGTATGTTATTTTGTATTTATTATTAAATCCCAAATCATCCTAAGACTTTTACACACACACACACACACACATTTACTAATAAAAATTAGGAGCAAATATAGCAGTTACTTATATGACACTGAATTTAGTTGGTACATTTCAGTAACATGGTTGCTACTCTTTATGGTATACACAAGCAATTGAAGAACTGCAAACATAGTTCACTGAAGCATTGTTTATAATCACAAAAAAAGTAAAAACAAAACAATGTCCAACAAGAGGGCATTAGTTAAATAAAACAGGGTACATGCAAACACCTGAGTTCTCTGTAACCATGAAAAATAATGTAGACCTGTATTTACTGACACTGAAGAGAATATACAATATACTGTTGAGTAAAAATGCTAGTTATAGAACAATATATGTAGCTGCATACTGTTTATTAAAAACAAACATGGAAATAAACAAACATTTGTATGTACATTTCCATGGGAAAAAGTACATAAGAAAATTCACCAAATTTCTGTCTCTGATATAGAGACTTGGGGAAATTTTATTGTTTTATTTTTATTTGTTGCTTATTTTTATTTTTTAATATTTCCATGATGATTATGCATTATTTATGTAGTTTTAAAAATTTCAAACACTAGAATAGGCTTTTACTTTCCTATAATCAAAATTGTCTTTTTACTGCGTCAATTTATAGTTAACCAATTTTCCAGGGCTCATAAACTGATGTTTATTTTTAAAATATAGTTTATCATTTTTGCTATTTTAAAAGTAAATATGCCTAAGACAGAAAATATGAAAGACAAATAACAAAACATAAATGAATACACATCAGTATATTTTCATTACCCAGTAATAATATCAGTTAATAAACAGTTAGATTTTATTTCTTTATAATTAATTTTTAATACAAATAAAATGTTTTGGTTACACAGTGGAAATTATATTGTAAATACAACATATCCTGTTACATTAAAAAAATAACATAAAATTTTCTCTTGATAAAAAGCTTTGGGTTTTTTTAATGACATTTTTAATGACAACATATTACAATGAGTGGATATATCATTATTGAATGAATCACTTTACTAGTGTTGAACGGTTTAACTAGTTCATGATTTTTAGCTATTATGACTAATATTACAACAAACATCTCTATGTATATGCCTTTTTAAATTAATGATCATTTACTTAGGATCAGGCTACCTGTGTCCAAATCCCAAATGTAATATTTTGATCTTGAGCAAGTTACTTAACCTCAGCAAACATTACGGGAAAGTAGTGTTTACTTTAAATGGGAATAATTCTAGTATGAACTACGGTAAGGTTGTTGTAAAGATTAAATGAGTTCAATGAATATAAAGCATTTAGCTCAGGGCCTGGCACATAATAAACATTCAATAAATGCTAGCTGTAAAATACTGTCTAAATAATAATTACTGATTTATTAATTTAGCACACATATTAAATGCTCTGTATATACCAGGTATTATTTTGAGTCCTGGGGAGCAAGAATATTTTGATCTGCGTGGTTACATAGGTGTATACGTGGAAAGATTCATTGAGCTATGTGCTTAAGATTTGTGTCCTTTACTATACAGAAGTTATATCTCGATTACAAAGAAAATATACTTATTTTTAAAGTCCACAAGATGATGGTGACGAGTGATAACAGTGGAGATGATCTGAAAGTGTAGTTGACAGGTTTTATGAATGAACTGGATGTGAGAAAAAGAGGAATCAAGGAGATGCCTTCAAAGTTTCACGTCTGTGCAAAGTGGGTAAATGACTGTCATATACTGAGAATGAGAAAAAATGAAGAGAGAAAAATTTTGAAAAAGGGTTGGTGAAATCAGGTTTGGTTTTGGACATTTTAGGTTTAGACTCCTATGAGACATCCAGTGCACATGAAATAAGCAGTAAGAAAATAAATATGGGATTCAGTAGTAAGACCAAGACTGGAGACTATTAATATGAGAAAGTCAGCATATAGATGCTTTTAAAACAATGGGATTTGATTAGATATTTTCTTTCAGTTTTGTTGAGATACAATTGACATACAGCACTGTATATAAGTTTAAGGTATACAGCATGATGATCTGACTGACATATCTCTTGAAATGATTACCACACAAGTTTAGTGAACATCCATCATCTCATATAGATACAGAATTACAGAAATGGAAAAAATATAGTTTTTCTTGTGATGAGAACACTTGGGATTACTCTCTAAACAACTTTCATATATAACATATAGCACTGTTAATTATGTTTATCATGTTGGACCTTACATTCCCAGTACTTATTTATCTCATAACTGGCAGTTTGTTACCTTTTGACCACCTCCATCAAACTCTCCCTCCCTGATGCCCTGCTTCTGGTAACCAGAAGTCTGACCTCTTTATCTCTGAGTTTGTTTGGTTCTGAAGAATAACTGACCTATAACACTATGTTAGTCCTTGTTATACAACACAGTGATTCTATATTTCTATATATTTCAAAATGGTCACCACAATAAGTCTAGTTATACTATATCACCATACAAAGATACTATATAATTACTGAATCCATATATTTCATACCCCTGACCCATTTATTTTGCAACTGGAAGTTTGTACCTCCTACCTCTTTCACCTATTTCTTTCCTCCTCCCACCCCTCTCTCCTCTGGCAACCATGTTTGTTCTTTGTATCTATAAATCTATTTCTGTTTTGTTATGTTTCTTCATTTGTTTTGTTTTTTGGATAAGATCTCTTTGCATACATATAGATAGAGAAGAAAAGAGGTCTAGTTCTGAAGTTTGACTGCTGAGGTAGTTCAACATTTAGAGATATGGTCCAGGAGAATTTTCCTCCAACTGGTAAAGTTGGAGGAAAATCAGCAAGGCATGGTGTCCTAGAAGCCAAGAGAAAAAGGAACAAGCACTCCACTGAGTCAAAACTTACTGGGAGATTAAGATGGAGACTGAGAGTTGATTACTGGATATTGCAAAATGAAAGTCATTGTGACCTTAGCAAAAGTGGTTTTAATGAGGAAAAGCTTTACTACAGTGAGCAATAAACATTATGAGGAAAGGGAGACAGAATTACGACAACTTTTTGAACAGTTTTGTTTTGCTTTTTGGTAAATGGGGGCAGAAGATTAGGGTAGTATCTGGAGAGAAATATGGGGCCAAAGGAAGGTTTAAATTCAGAGTTAAGAACATCTAACACTTAGCACAGTGCCAAATTACAAAGCTAATATTTTAAAGGAAGAAGTATTTTATTTATCTGTTTCCATTTAAATCAGGTAGGATATACTATACCATTTATTTCAAATACTTGTTACGAGAAAAAAAATCAGTATTTTGAGTGTTTACTACTTACAGAATCCTGATGTTGTGTGATATCCACAAACGATACCTTCTTATCTTTAGGTGTTAAACGTCTTGGTTTAGGTGTTGGTGCCTAAAATAAACCAATAGGTCAAACTGAGTACAGTGAACATACCTTTTAGATATTTTCTCTCTTTTATTTGACTGTCTTTTAAGTTTTATAGGAAATTCAAAGTCACTGTTACTCACTACAACTAATGTGCTAGCAGAGGATGCTGGAGGTAGCCTTTGAACAACTTCTGACTCTTCTTTCTGTATGAGATTTCCTAAGCCTTCAGTTGTGATGGATCCACTTGGAGGAAGGTAAGCAAATTTCCATTTCAATATTACATGGATGGTTCCTGCAGGATGCTTTTTGTGATCTGTTAACTCAAATATTCCTGTCAAATTACAAAAATAATTGCAATTAATACTAGAAGCAAGCTTCATTGCCACACGAATTAGAAAAGAGCAAAGAACTACACACAACTTTAAAAATAAGTTTGGCTTTTACTCACAACTCAAATGACTCAAGAGAATGAAATAAAGACAAAAGGATCTATAACAGGTTCATCTCTCAAGCAGAGAGATTAAGGCCTCAAAGATAATACTGATTCAAAGATGAGAAAACTGACTTATAAATATTTTAATCACTGAAATTAAATTCAGAAATTCTTCAGAATTCTTAGCCTTCCTCTAAGATGTTATCTCGGTTATAGCTCAAATAACAACCTTCATTTTGATTTGATATTCTTGCCAAAATTAGTTTCTGTAGAAAAATATATTAAAACTTCAAAATTTCAAATAACTTATGTATCTAAAGGAGTCTTTTTATTACTATACAATTCTATTATAATTTTAAATATACTTTACTGGGACTTGTTAAATTACTCCAAATTAACAGTAGCTCAGCAAAAATATGTCCATAAAATAAACAAACCACCCAAAACATATAATAGTGACAAAAAGTATCACCTAGCTGAATCTATAATATTGAGTCATGCATTTTAATCATCACATTAGATTTTTCAGTATAAAAATCCCTGACATGAAAAAAAAAAACCTATATTGCAAGCATAACTTTTGTTTAGTGGTATCCTTTACTTGGTTCTCAAGTGTTGGACACTTCTTTTAATGGCTGGCTGGGAAAGAAAAAACTAAAGAACTCTAGACTTCAGGTAGAAAAAAGATATAGGTGGAATAGAGGGAGGTGAAAAACTTCTATTATAGGCACAGGTGGGATTTACAGAACAGCTGACTGAAGAGCCAGTAAATCCTTACCACAAAAAGCAATGATAAAACTGAATAAAATGATCAAAAATAACCATTTAAGAACTCTGGAAATTGATCGAAGGTGTACAACAAATTGAAAACCATTTACTCAAGAGAATCAGCTGAGCCTCAGTAAGAACACAAGGAGTCAGAAAAATCCCTAATAAGCAACTTGCCCTGACTGAATATGACATTTGTAGATTGTCTGAACTTTGAATATGTTACCCAAGCCATACACTGACCCATTGGCAAAGGGTGGAAGCCTGCCAGTTCCAGGTGTTTAAATCCAACTTTCAACTAACTATTGACTGACCACTAAACTATGCTCATGCTTAACATTAAAACAGAATAAAACAAACAGAAACTTACCAGAGACATCAGTGGCTACAGTGAGGAAAAAAGACTATAGAACTAGTCCAGGCAAGTCACCAAACAAACCACAACAGCAACAGTAACCACCCTGTGAAGGGCTGGAATCTAGAGTTGCTATGATATGATGTCCCAAATGTCAAGTTTTAAATAACGACAAAAATTCATGAGATATGCAAAGAAACAAGAGAATGTTGAGCTACATATACAGGAAAAGGTCATCCATAGATACTGAGGGCATACAGATATTAGACTCAGCAGATAAAGATCTCAGAGCAGCTATTACAAATATGTTCAAAGAGCTAAAAAAACCCATACTTAAAGAATTAAAGGAAAGTGTGAAGACAATGACATATAAAACAGAATATAATAAAGAGCTATAAATTATAAAATGGGAACTAGAATATATTGTACAACATAGGGAATATAGCCAATTTTCATAATAACTATAAATGGAGTATAGCCCTTAAAAATTGTGAATCATTATGTTGTTCACCTGTAATATATAATATTGTATATCAACTGTACAATAAAAAAGCAAAAACTAAATAGAAATTCTGGAGTTGAAAAGTACAATCACTGAAATGAAAAAATTCAATAAAGGGGCTCAATAGGAAATTTGAGCTGGAAGAAGAAAGAATCAATAAACGTGAAGATTGATCAATACAGATGGCCCAATTTGAAGAGGAATAATGAAGAAAAATGAGTAGCGCCTCAGAGACCTGTAGGACACCACTAAATATATGAACATATATGTAATGGGAGTCTGAGAAGGGGAAGAAAGGGCAGAATAAACAACTGAAGAAATAATGGCAGAAAACTTTCCAAATTTCGTACATAATGGTCCCCTACACGTAAAGAAGCTCAACAAGTTCCAAGTAACATAAGCACAAAGGGATCCACACCTAGACATGTCACAGTTGAATTGCTGAAAGCCAAAAAGAAAAAGAAAAAAGAAAAAAAGGAAAATCTTGAAAACAATATCATATACTAGGGAACCATAATGAGATTAACAGATGACTTCTCATTAGAAACAATGATGCCAGAGTCAGTTGTCTGATGTACTCAAAGCGACTAAAGAAAATAAACCTGAAAACTAAGAATATCATATCCAGCAAGACTACCCTTCAGAAAATAAAAGCTAAATAAAGACATTCCCAGATAACAATGATTAAGTGAATTCATTGCCAGCAGACCTGACTTACAAGATGTAGTAAAGAATTTGAGGCTAAAAGGAAGTGACACCAGATGGTGACTCTGATCAATATGAAGGAATAGAGACCAATAAAGGTAATTACATAGGTAATTATAAAAGACAGCATAAATATATGTTTTTCCTCATTTCTTGTCTTAACTGATTTAAAAGACAGTTGCATAAAACAATAATTATAAAATTATAATGTTGTACTTACAAGATAAAATATGACAATAATAGCACAAAAGAAGGGGAGGAAATGGAGCTAAGAAAATGACACCAGAGAGTAACTCAAATCCGTATGAAGAAAAAAGAATTCCAGAGATGGTAAATATATAAGTTAATATAAGTCTTCTATAATTACATATATATTCTCCCTTCTCTTAAAGGAGATAAAGTTACATAAAGCAATAATTACAACACTGTGTTGTTGGGTTATAACATATACAGGCATACTATGTACATATATATGGCAATAATATTACAAAGGAGGGGGAGAGAATGGAATTATGTTGGAGCAGACTTTCTAAATTTTAATAGAGTTGTTAGTATTAAATTTAAGTTGATTGAGGTAAGTTAAGATGCATATTATAATCTCTGTAACAACAACTAAGAAAATAACTGAAAAAATGTAATATTATCGGCCCAAAGTTTAAGATTACCTAAGAAGGCTAGGAAGATTAGTTATAAACAGATCATATCTGAAACGCTGAGGTATAATTTTGTTGTTGTTGTTGTTTGCTTTTTTACAATTTCATGGATTCAAGAAATATGCTTACCTGAAATACACTTGTCATGTGCCAGTGAAATCAGAGGCACATTGACTTTTCCTATGTAAATATTCTCCTGGGTATCACTATCATCAAACACATAAAAACTCAGAGACTCTGACTTAAGGTATCGATCCAAATCCATATTCATTGGCACTGGGAAACACATGTGATCATCAAACTGTGGATCATTGCTACTGGGAATGATGGCTGTATCATGGTCTGCAAAATCAAAAAACTTGTACACAACATATGGGTGTGGCTGCAGGTGGCTTGCTCGGGACTGCAGGTGGTTGCAGGATCTTACTGTAATATGAAGTTCATTTAAGTTGCCATCTGTGGAATCAGTAGAACTGAGCTGAGCAGTTTTGGGTGCTTGCTGACTTAACTGGAAAAACATACATATTTATATTATAGTAATAATACAATGAAAAGATAAAAAGCAGCTGCCAACCCCCAAACAAAAGAGTTTCATAAATGAACAAAAAGCTGCATATTTTTATTTCATAGTGAACTTCTCACTTAAAGACTCTTAACTTGTATTCAAAACCAATATTCTCTAGAACATGTGTACAGATGTTATTAGCAGCAAACATCAAGACTGAGCAAACATGTAGAGGTTGCTATTAAAACCAAATAAAGCCAAGAAAATAGCTAATCTCATGTTATTTAATTCTATTTAATAATAAACAGGTAAAGTGTTAAAAGATGGGTCCAAAGACAAATGTCTCCTGGTTCACAATTTTATTTAGAGCTAATCCTTCAACCATTCCAGTTATTCCTATCATATCCCATTCTTAGGTGAGAATCCAATGAATTTGATGGTACCCGTCCACAAAGATGATTTTGTTATATTTGGGTTGGCCCTCATCCTGAACCAGTGGGGTTTGGGGGAACAGACACCTGAGGCCAAGGTTAGCTAGTATATCAGATTCTAACTGCTATATAAGAACAAGGGAACAGAGTGAGAGATAAACGCTGCAGGGGTAAAACCTTGGCTTGGGAGGACATTTCAGAAGAGAGATGAGCAAAGGGAGTTATCAGGCAGAGTCAGAAACTACTTCATGGCCCTTTCTCGAACTATTGCTCAGGTAGCCGGTGCACAAGTATCCCAGCAAACACTCGCACTGACTAACTGCTAAGCGCACCCCGGCTGACGTGATCTGGGACCAGGAATGCAGTGTTGCAGGGCCTTGTGGCGTTAGAGAATTCCCCACCTTCCACAAGGGGACCACTCTTTGACTGAATTTTTGATACTGGATTCAACATCTGGAACGTCTGACTCTAGAGAACTTTATTGGAGAAGGAAAAACAGAACTACAGTCATAATCTCCTTAGTGGAGACATCTGGTGGTGTGGAGAGGAGAAATCTGAGAAGGGAATCATAATACTGCTTTCCCAGGGCTAGTCTGCATCTGGCAATAGAAAGCTGAGTGGAATGATTTACAAAGTACCTTCTCTACTTCTCTCCCCAAGTCTACCCACAAAAGGTGAAATTCCAACAGTAAGTGACTTATTCAAGCCATGAACTGGGAGTCCAAAACCCTTTAAACTACAAAACCAAGTAAATACTGTGGTTTTTCTATTTCTAATTTCCTTTTCCGTAACAGCATTTCCCAAAGCATATTCTGAAGAACATTTGTCCAGAAAGTTACCTCTGGGGAATGGGTGCCGTTCTTGAAGTTTGGGAAATCAGTGTTATATTAGTCACGGTTCTTTAATTGGAAGTCATAGAAACTAATTCCACTCAGCAAATACAATGAAACGAGACTTTAATATAAGGTTATTGGGTTATTTCATAGAACTACATAGCAGAAATGTGATTCAGTCTTAGGAAGGTGATGGGACTGGAAAGCTACCAGAATTTACTCTCCATCTAGTTTCCAGTTTTCTCCCCTAGTCCCATTTTCTTCCTTTGCCATTTAACATGGCAGAAGATGGCTGCCCCACAGCTCCCAACCTTACATGTTCCAGGCATGGAAAGTTGTGCTTTCTCTTGATCTCAAGAAGCAGAATCTGATTGGCTTAGCTGGGGGCAGGTGGACATTCCTGAATCATTAGCTATAATTGGGAGGAGTGGGAGAGAGCAGGACGACCAAACGTAAAGCTGGCCCAGTCCCACGGATTAGGAGAGAGGGTAGCTCCAAACAAAAAAAGAGAAACATGACTTGAGCAGACATTCCAAAATGTTTCTACTATATTCTATCCCTTCATTACTCAACATAAGTGTATACTTTATGCTTCCTCTTGAGATTTATGTTATACATGAGAAGTCCTAAAGGATCCCATTTAATTTTGCTCAATTCAGTGTTTTCTACATTTATTGGATCATGGAATTCTTTTGGAAATACGGCTATTAAGATTCCATGAAACAAAGTTTGGGAAATGCTGCTCTGAGGGGTGCATTTTAACTTCCAATTCTCATGTAAAAGAACATTCATTTTATATTCTACTTTCAGAACCCTATTTCAGAAACCTAACAGTTTCTGAGACAGCTGGAAAGAAGGAGAATAACTGAGGGTCCAATAATAGTTATTAATTTCCTTAACAGGAGAAATTGCAATGAACGTCACTTGATGTGTAATAGTAGTACTGCAATTCTATTTCTCAAAAATGTCCTGGCTAGCACAAGGGAGTTCCTTTGTGGTGACAGACCAATTCTGTAACTTGATTGTGGTGGCAGTTATATGATTATATATACATGATAAAACTGCACAGAACTCTGCCTCCTCCTATACACATACATACACACACACAAAAGTGCAAGTAAAATGTACAAAATCTGAGTAAAGTCTGTAGCTTAGCTGATAGTGTTGTACCAATGTCAGTTTCCTGGTTTTGATATCATACTATAGTTACATAAGATGTTACAATTGGGAGAAGCTTGGGTAAAGGCTACACAGGACCTCTGGACTACTTTTGCTACTTCCTGTAAGTCTATGATTATTTCAAAATAAAAAGTTTAAAAAAAAGCCACTTGATGGCTGTGAAAGAAAATAATTCCAGTTTAAAGCATGATAATATAAAGACACACGATAAAATTTCTCTGTCATAAAAGGGTCTTAAAGTCAAACAAGCTTACCCGCTGCATTTGCTCTGGCCCCTTAAAATTTGATGTTATGTATCCCAAAGCCTTTGCCCGCTCTCGATAAAGTCGAATTGCTTGATCCATGGGAACTCTTAATCGGAACCAGTATTCCACTGTGCCAAAATTTGGGATGTCTCCTTTAGTTCCTACAAACCAATACGTATCTCACTGTTAAAATAGTCCCATAGATCAAAATATATACCCGTAAAAATAAATCAATGGTATTATGCATGGAAACAATACATTTTATACTGAGTAAAAAAATACATGACTTGCACAAATGATGTGTGATTGGCAAATAACAGAGATAAAGAAAATAAAGTTACTCCTCCAAGTATGAGTTTCACTGTGTGTTAAATATGATTAAATAACTATATCAAACTAGGTTTGAGAGAGTCCAATTTACTCTATTTCAATCCTTCTAAAATAGAAAGAAAAATCTAAACATTGAATCAAATACTCCACAGATTCTTTCTGATGCTATGGTATTTTTTTTTTTTTTTACTAGTTGTACTCAGTGTAGTCTGACACACACCATATGAAACCTCAACTTATAAATGTGATATTCCACATTATAGTTCAACTTTCAAGAAATCTTTGACACCTTCCCATTTTTGTACTGTGCCATAAGCATGGGGAAAAGCACCATAGCTCTGTCGTATATAAGCCATATGTAATATCCACCTGCGTGTTTGCCCTGCACACCTTCAGAACTCCTTACAACTCAGCAGCTCAACTCTCTCCCTCTGTGAAGACTGCCCCTATGGCTCCTAGGAGCAATCGTTAAGAAAAAGGTCCTAAAAGAATGTTGACACACACATATATTTGTTTGTATATGCATAAAATTCTTTTGGAAGAATGCACAGCCTTTGGTGAGGGAACCCAGGGTAGGTGGGGGACAGGAGTGGGAGACAGACATTTTAAGGTATAACCTTGTGTTTTTCGAATCATGGGAATGTATTGCCTATGCGATCAATAAAATAAAATTCCTCTCCAGAACCTCAGTCACTCTCCTTCCTTCTTGAAATGGTTTCTTCACTTTGCCCTAGGATATTATACGCTCTTGGTTTGTCTCCCACCTCACTGGCCACTCCTCAGTCTCCTTTGTTAGTTCCTTCTCTTCTTCCTGAACTCTAAATTTTGGAGTTTCACAAGGCTCAGTCCTTGGCTACCTTCTCTTCTTCACGTATGTTCACTCTGTATGTGAAATTATCATAGGTCCAAGGCTTAAAATATATTGTATGCTAATGACTCCCACTTTCTTATTTCTGTCCCTGATCTTCAGAGCAGTGCATCCAACTGCTGAGGTGACATTTCCGCTTGGCTGTCTAACAGGTAGATCGATCTAACTTGTTCAAACACCATTTTTAGTTTTCTTCTTGAAAGCTGTTCCTTTTCCAGGTCTATCTCAATAAATGGCCTCAGCATTCTCCTAGTTACTCACACCAGAAATTCTCAACTCCTCTTTTCCATCACCTTACATTCAACTGATGAGCAAGTCTTCAAGGAACAGTTAATTAAATAGAGACTGAATATAACCACTTCTTGTCACCACTTTCATTACCATCTTAATCTGAGCCACCACCATCTTTTCACAGATTAATGCAACAGCCTGATAATGGTCCTATTTTCCCTCTTGGTTCCTATAGACTCTTCTTTCCACAGCACCCAGGGTGGTTTTCTAAAAGCTATGTGTGATCATGTTGCTACCCTCCTCAAAACTGTCCAATGACATGCATCAAGCAGAGGAAGACAAAGTCCACACTCCTCACCATGACCACCAAGGCTCTGTGGTGTGATCTGGTCCCAGTCTACTGCTTTGGTCTCATCTCTGCTCTAGCCACTGGCCTCCCTGCTGACTTTCCAACATGTCAGGTTTGTTCTTCCCTTGGGCCTTTGAACTTGCTGTTCCCTCTGCCTGAGACATTCCTCCTCTGGGTCCTGGCATGGATCTTTATTCAGGTCTTTACTGGTGTCACCCCCTCAAGGAAGCCTTTATCTAATTAGCAACCTTCCATCTCTCTCTTTAACCTCTTGCCTTGATTATTTTTCTTTGTATCTGATGATAAGGATGTTTGTTTTATGGCTTGTCTTCCCCTCTAGAAGCTACACTAAATGGGGGCTGGGGCTTTGTCTGTCTTGTTTATCACTGATCACTGTATTTCCAGTGCCTAGTGAGTGGTAACATGATAAGCTCTTTAAAAATATTTGATAAATGTACTATAATTAATGTTTAATCAAACAAAGTATAAATACAGTGAATAAATATTGCACTAATAAGCTTTAAAAAATTAATAGCCACTGTATCGACATTATCAATGACATTGAAGATAGTCCAAACAACTGTGGGCAACTCAGAGAACGCTGTCCTTATCTTAAAGGCACGTGGAATCAGTAAGAGACGATACTAATGTGGAACGCCATATAAACTCACCAGTAATTCAAACATTCTAAGCTTATAAGACTGTACTCACCAACTAAACTTGCTGTGCAAAATATTCGACTGCTTTTTTCTAGAATTTCATGGAATCTCAATTGACATGCTGCAATTGTTTCATAATCTGTGCTGTAAGCTTGGTGGACCTCTAGAGTGATAGTATTTTTCTGAATATATTGTAAGAATAAGTCGTTAACATGAACAAGATATTGAGAAGTAAAGTTATATTCCGGGTGAAGGCCCCGCACTATGGGAGTTGCCTGTAGTTCAAAATCATAGAAAGCGTAAGTACAGAAGGTGACAGGCTCCTTATCTCCAGATGCCTGTAAAACTTCGGAAGAAAAGGTTACTTTGCTGATGTGGATTTCAAATAGGTTTTCGCCTCGTTCTAAGTGAATGGTTTCATCAATTTCATCAACAGAGTCATCTGGCATGATTTCCGGTTTAAATTTGTACTGCTTGGTGCCATAGGCAATATCCTTTAATTGGGCTGCAAGAGAAGACACACAGTTTAGAGGTTTTAAACCACTGACGTATAAAGACACAAGTTGGCTTTTAAAGTGGTAGAAAGTCTGAGTGCTTTTGGTGAGTAGTCTCAATCTAAAATTCTATGACTACACTATTTTTTCTGTAAACAGTATTGCATTATAAAAAATTCATCATTTATTTTGACATCACTTGTTAAACAAGAAAATCACAACTTAAGTGGTAATACAGGCTAAACTAGGGAAAAAAAAAGAAAAAAAGAGAAAAAAGGCCTTTGAATGAACAGCTGAGGTAAATATTTAGACTCCACCTGCCCCTTCGCCTCTCTGCTCTATTATATTCTCTCCTGTAAAGTCAATTTCTCTTTCCACTGGCTCCTTCCCTTCAGCTCATTAAAGTATATATATTTTTCTACTTGGGGGAATAATGGATATGTTTATTATCTTGATTACAGTGATGGTTTCACAGGTGTATACATAGGTCAAATCTCACCAAATTGTGCGCTTTAAATACCTGCAGTTTAAAGTATGTTAATTGTATTTCTACAAAGCTGCTTTTTAAAAAAGGTATCTCTTTTTAGATTAGAACATTCCCTCACACCATATACAAAAATTAACTCAAAATGGTTTAAAGACCTAAATGTAAGACCAGAAACCACAAAACTCCTAGAAGAGAACATTAGCAGAACACACTTTGACATAAATTGTAGCAATATTTTTTTTGGATTTGTCTCCTAAGGCAAAAGAAATAAAAGCCAAAATAAATAAATTGGACCCAATTAAACTTAAAAGCATTTGCACAGCAAAGAAAATCATCAACAGAATGAAAAGACAATCTACTGAATGGGAGAAGATATTTGCAAATGATGTGACCGACAAGGGATTAATATTCAAAATATATAAACAGCTCATAAGACTCGATATACAAAAAAAAAACCTCAATCAAAAAATGGGCAGAAGGCCTAAACAGACATGTTTTCAAAGATGACATACAGATGGCTAACAGGCACATTAAAAGATGCTCAACATTGTTAATTATTAGAGAAATGCAAATCAAAACCATAATAAGATATTACCTCACACCTGTCAGAATGGCTATCATCAAAAAGTCTACAAACAACAAATGCTAGAGAGGAGGTGTAGAAAAGGGAACCTTTGTACACTGTCACTGGGAATATAAATTGGTACAGCCACTGTGGAAAAAAGTATGGAGGTTCTTCAAAAAATTAAAAATAAAACTACCATATAATCCAGCAATTCCACTCCTGGGTATATATCTGGAAAAAATGAAAACGCTAATTTGAAAAGATACATGCACCCCAATGTTCATAACATCACTAATTACAACAGCCAATATATGGAAGCAACCCAGGTGTCTATCAACAGCTGAATGAATAAAGATGTGGTATACCCACACAATAGAATATTACTTAGTCATGAAAAGAATGAAATTCTGCCATTTGAAGCAACTAGAGAATACTATACTTAATGAAATAAGTCAGAGAAAGACAAATAGTGTATGGTATCATTTACATGTGGAATCAAAAAATGATATGGTATCATTTACATGTGGGATCAAAAAGTGATACAAATGAATGTACACGCAAAACAGAAACAAACTCACAGATATAGAAAACAAACTTGTGGTTACTAAAGGGGAGAGGGAAGGAGGGAGGGACAAATTACGAGTATGAGGTTGACAGATACAAACTATGTGTAAAATAGATAAGCAACAAGGATATATTGTATAGCACAGGTAATTAGAGCCATTATCATGTAATAACTTACAATAGAGTATAATCTGCAAAAATACTGAATCACTATGCTGTAGACCCAAAACTAATATAATGTTGTAAATCAACTATACTTCAGTAAAAAATAGACAAAAAGATATTATCTCTTTCTAGATACACATTTCCCACCATGTGACATCCAAATTTCTATAAAGAGTAACATATACTTGTGTCTCCAATTCCTCATCTAACAGACCCTCCAAACTTTATTCATGGAACTACTCCAGGAAAGGTCACCTTTGCTATCTGCTAGATCGAATGGACTTTGGTCTTTGTATTACTTGATTTCTTTGCTTAATTGACCCGGATGACTTCTTTGCTTAACTGACACTCCTCTTTTGTGAACTTCTGTCCTGACTTGGCTTCCATGACATTGTCTGCCCTGCTTCTCCTCCTACCTATCTTCTCATTCTTTAAGGGTTTCTCTTTTTCTGCCAGCTTGCTGGGGTTCTTTTTATCCTCTTTTTAGTCTACATATTCTCAGGGGTAATTTCATCCTCTTTTATGACTTCTGTTACTATCAATACACTGAAAACTCATATTTCTTTTCATTTTTTAAAAGAATACACACACACACACACACACAAATATATATATATATATATATATATATATATATATATATAATATATAATGGAGGTACTGGGAATTGAACCCAGGACCTCACGCATGCTGAGTATGCACTTTAGCACTGAGCTATACCCGCATCCCTTCATATTCCTATTTTTAATTTAGATTTCTTTCCTGAATTCCAGACCCACACATCTACTGGCTTGCTGAGCCCTCTGTCTAGATAGCCCCTAGGCTCATCAAACTCAGTATATCCAAAGCAGAATGTATCATATTCTCTCCTAGTTATTTCTGTACTTTGAATTTCAAGTGATGTTGTTAGCATTCATCCAGTTGCCTAAGCTACATACCACAGAGTCATCCTAGTTTCCTCTTTTTCTTTTATTCTCCCCACATCTGTAGTATAACTGTTATTCAAAACCATTTCCTAAGTCTTTATCCATTTGTCCCTGTCCTCTGTATCTCCACTGATGCTACCTTACTTATACTCTGAGTGTTTCTTACCCAGTTTATTAATGGAATCCAAACTGCTTCCTTCTTCCAAATTTTACTCATTTTCCCCAATACCTCTAGCAGAATCTCCAAAATGCAGTTTTGGGTGTACTACTCCCCACCTCAAAAATTCCTTGGTGCTTCTCTAGGTTAATAAGGTTCAAACTCATCAGGGTGGCACACAGGGCCTTCAAGACTTGGTTCTCTCCAGCCTTATTTCTAGCTTCTCCTCCCTTAACTAATCCTGAATTCCAAATAGATGGATCCACAGGCAGCTTTACAAATGAATGGCAGTGTTTTAGTTAGGGCATTTTTACAGGGCCTCATCTACTGCCTAGGGAGCCTTTCATTGCTTTTACTCAGTGGTGAATTCTGTCATCTTTAAAGACTTCAAACCTGCTCTGTGCAGTCTTCCCTGAACCTTCAGGAATAAACAGACATTCTCTCCTCAAAGTTTCCGTGGTAGCTCTTGCATTTTCCTGGCCTCACACCCTTCACAGTAAAATGTGATTGTCTACTTACTTGTTCACATCGTATGAGTTCCTGGAGGGGGTGCCTGAGCTTTTTTCCTATTTGTAGTCTCACTGCCTAGCACTTTGCGTAGGATGCATTAGGAACTTGTGCATGTTTATGGAATGAATCAATGAATTTAGGAGGTAGATAAAATATATTGGTAAAAATTTAGTGGGACTTCAAAGGAATGAAGTCTCAAACTATGTGATCGCCTTGTTATTCAGGAAAATTACATTAAGCAAATTTTTATTGAGTACTACTTGAAATAAAAGGAACACACTGCTCTTTAACTTTGGAAAACCTTGTTCAGTCAGATAAAGATGTTTTTAAACCCTCCTGCTTAGAGTAGTGGTTCTCAAAGTGTGGTCTGGGAACCCCTGAAGGTCCCTAAAACTATTCTGGAGGTCTGTGAGGTCAAAACTATTTTTAAAATAATACTAAGATGTTATACATCTTTTTCATTCTTATTCTCTTACAAGTATATAATATAGTTTCCTAGAACCTATATGATGTGTGATTTCGTACCAGATTGACTGCAGAAGCAGCTATAAAAACCCAGCTGTTTTCTATTAAGTTGAGACACTAAAAAGATTTGCAAAAATGTTAAACAATTAAAAAAATTTAAAACAATGTCACTCTTGTCACTTTTGTTTTGTATGGAAAATACAGCTTTTAAAAAATAAATACTGCAATCTATGTTAACATGTAAAGTGCTTAGTATTATTTTAATATGACAAATATTGTTTAAATTTCTCACTTTTAATTTCTAATATGATACATATCATAAATATAATCTATATAAACAAAAGGCCTTTTGAGTTCTCAGTGATTTTTAAGAGTGTAAAATTACTGCTGGCATAGCTCATTGAATTCAGGTACTGCATGGCAGAGAACATGAAGAGAGACAAAGTACTTATCACTGTAGAACTTATAATGTCATCACAGAGAACATATAAAACTCCGACAGTGAAAAACACTTACATAATAAAACCCCGAAATACATTTTTTGATTACATGAGAGTATCAGTGGTAAGTGCTAAGGTAGTGTTTTTCAAAGTACAATCTTACACATGCATCTGAATTGCTTGGAGTTATTGCAAAACACACAGAATCAAGGGCCCCAAGATCTCCAGGGGTAGAACCCAGGAAGCTACTTCTGAAACAAGTTTTCCATGTAATTTTCATACTTGCTAAAGTCTGAAAATCACTGTAACGGCATTTCAAGTAGAGGGACGGATAGAGTAATTGGAGCCAGATTCCTGGCACAGGTGCGCATTTATTTAGAATTCATAGCAGGGAAGGGTGTATCTTGGAGTCACGGTAGAAAGGAGGTTCAGGTGGAACAGACAAAGGCCTGGTGGTGGGACTGAGCAAGATGAATCTGACACAGAGCAAGCAGACTAATTTAACTGAGATGCACAGTTTGCTGAGAGGAGAAGTTAGAAATGACGTGGTTACGTTTAGTCTGTAGTACTGTATAAAGTACTTTGAAATCTTGCCTGCAACACCGAATTCAGTAAGTAGCAGGGAATTACTAAAAATTTTTGAGTAGAAAATTATCAGATAAAAGCAGCCTTTCTGGTAAATTATTATTATAGTTAATAAACTGGAAAAAAAAAGAGCAAAAAGAAATTGTGAGTGTACATTTGGATGATATTTTCAACTCTTATAAATATCATTCCTCTAGTAACTGTGGACAAAGAATTGTGCACATTGTACCTTCTAGTTTCTGGATGCGTGCAGCTCTGATATCAAGAAGATGAACATACTGTTCCACTTTGAGTTCATAATCTTGCTGCAAATTTTCCATCTTCTGGGTCACTGACTCAACTTCCATCTAAAAAAATAGAGATAACAAGTTTCATTACTTACAATTAGTTCCACTTTCATTTTTTAAAGCAACTATGATTCAAGCATTTTCTAGATCCTAGGGATACCAGGAGCTGTAAGCCATTGTTTCCTGACTTCAAAGAGCTTACAGTTTAGAAAATTATGCTTGGCAATGGTCATAAATCAGAAGTAAAATCAACAAAACTCTGGATTCCTTTTTAAGGAGGTAATATTACCATTTGTTAAAAGCTAATATAACATGTGGTTGTGGCAGGACTTCAGGAGAACTATAACCCATTTGCAGAATGAGCTAACACTAGTCGTAAAGGGGGAATTCATTGCCACTATTCATTCTCTAAAACCAAGGACTCAAAAAAAAAAAGATTTGTTTTTAAACTATTTAGTCTAAGTATCTAGCTACAAGGCTAAACTCCAGGCATGTGGTAATACATGATAACAGATTGAGAATACATGATACTGTTGAGAAATATCAATCATCAGTAGAAAATTATAAAAAAACCTACCCTCCCAATTTAGCGTATTACATTACCTGATAATCTTTATTAATTTTATGTTGCATGATTAGCATGTTTCTTGTCTTTTCCAGTTCTTGCACTGTTTCTGCATGAGTCGCCTGCAGCTCTTTCATGGAACGCTCTAGATCTTTACTAATTTTACTGTCTACTTTCTCTAAAAAAGAAAGGTCTCCATTTTTTTGTGATTTTTGAGCCTAAAATAAAAACATGTTTTAGTACCAAGAGTTCTAAAATGTAATTGTGAATTAATATGGATGTAGCAAGAAACAATCATTAATTGAAAACAGATACATTTCCATTTCCTATCAGGAATAAAATAGTCCTGATGTAGAATATATGTTCGGAGAGATATTTGGAACAACTACAGAGAAATAAAAAAGTTTATTACTTCATGACTTAAAGAATCATGAACACTTATTCCTATTTTTTCATTTGATTAAAATCTACACTGCGATAATCTAAAAGGAAAGATATATATTTTCTTGTGTCTTTTTGTAAATAACAGAATATCCTAGAACTGGAAAATTTCTTCTGGTGACATATATAATTCAATATTTTACTTAAGATAATAGGGTGCACCAAGGTCTCTCAGGAAAGAAAACTGTTGATTAGTTTTACAGTGGGGCACATAAAAGTAAAATGTTTGTTACACTTGGAGAAAGTGCTTTAAATAAGAGTTTTTGAGGTCTACTTTAATGCAATTTTGATGTCATTATGAAATATGTATATGCTGTAACTAAATGTCACCTGACCACTTTCCTGAATAATTCATTCTCTAAGTATAAAGGTTACAGATAAGGGTCATCATTATGCTGAAACAGTTATATGCAGACATGAAAATCATAGTGAAGTTCAGAAAGTTACCTTTATAAGCAGGAGAGCTTCACTCAATTCATCAGCATTAATATCACTCTCCTGCAAAAGACACAGTCAGTAAAAGCTCACGATATTAATGGAAAGTACAAGAGATATTCCAATTATGCAGATCACCCTCACAGAACATAAGCTGCCAGATAGCATGAATTAATCAACTAAGTAATATATTTGTATTCTTTTGCTTTGTGGTATAGTGTTTTCTTTACACAAAATATTTAGATAAAAATTTGGAGTTCATTTCCTAAATAAGAAAATAGTTCACCTGGTTGTAAAACTTCATGCGGTTTTTAAGTTCATCAAGTTGTTGCTTTTGTTCCAGGTACTGTAACTGCAGTTCTCTATTTTCTTGAATAACTTTCTCATTTTGGTCTTAAAAATAAAGTTGACACAATTAGGAAGGTAAGTGAGAATGAGGTATAGGAACACATTTTAAATTAACTTAATTCACGACACACACCAAGCTCGATCCAGCATTGTCCTGGCTGCAGGGGAAATTGAGCTAGCACCTAGACAAAGGCAGCAGGGGAGTGAGGAACAAAGGAACACTATCATGTGTCCACCATATGATTCACTTGCTTATCAAAAACTTAAAACTTAGGTTCACAGTATTAATATAAGGAAATTGTGGCCTCTGGGACTTCAAAGGAACATTCTATCTAAAATACCTAAGAAAATATGTTTCTAAATCTATGATTTCTACTTACTTATTAAGGGTCCTGAAAGGCATGCAAAAAAAATTTTTGTCTTTTAGTTTTTTTAAAATTGACTTCCTTGAATTTTCTTTTCCCAATTTAGCATAAAGTCTTTTTGTTAAAACAAGATAATTTCTCTGGTAATAACTTTGGATCCATAATTTTCATCAACCCTGCTTTTAATAAATCCGTTAAGGTAGGAGAAGTGGATTCTCAACCATGCATGGTAGAATCAATAATAATTCACACGTGTTCTTTATTCATTGCGTTCATGTTATTAATTAGAACGTGGACTCAGAGCTATCATTAAGGAATGGAGACGGGTTATGTTTGCCTACGTGCTCATTCGCCATGACCCATGAGCAGGGTACAGGGTAGAGCTACAGAAGACAGCAAATCCATAAAGAGACTAATTTTTCACTCCCTGCATTAAATATGCTTAACTTAAAAAAAAAAGCATAATAGCTAGCTAACAAATTGGTTCTTTAGTCCCACGTTCTTAAGTATACCCTTCACCAGAGTTCACTGTGGTGGTGAAGTGTTCCCCTTTGCTGGTTCCTTATGTACTAACTCTAAACCATGTCATCCCAAGTGTCTCTACTAATTTCATCCTGCTCACAAAAGATTTATGATTATCTTAAGTCCTCAGTTCAAGTTGTACATTTTTGTTTCCTTTTCTTAAAAAAAGGGATATCAACATATTTGCCAAGAATTCTTTACATGAATATATTTGCACACTGACTGCATTTTATACAAAAATGTCTCTGGCTTTTATAAAGCTTTGTGTTCCCAAGCCATAAATACTATATGTAAGTAAAAACTGTAAATTACACACAGTTAAGAAGACATGGACTAAATGTGAATATTTTTAATATCACATACTTCCTGGCAACCTGAAAAGTTAAGGAAAAAAAGTAACCCTAGGGAATGTATAGCCATTTTAATATCAAATACGTAAATATTTTTCTTATTGATGAAAGATTAAAAGGTTATCCTAGAGTATAAATATTTAGTGAACTAAAATGAACGAATTTCCAAATGTGAACAATACTTAGAAATTTAAAGGTCAAATATTTGTCTCTAAACTAAAACTTAGGATAACAATAAATATGAATTCTTACGAGATAAATTTGCTCTTTTGCTTAGAGAGTAGAATAAGTATGTAGAAACCTTTGTTTTATGTTGATTAGGTTAAAACAACATCCAGATAGAATGATTAGGTAACAAAAAAGAAGGTAAATATGGTCAGAAAGATGTGAAATCAAGGTCCCGAGGATAAAGTAATTTCCTTCTCTGGTCAGTGAAACTTTTAGGGGTTCTGAGGGGACCTAAAGTGTAAAGATGACTGCTCCGTCTTCAGACACAGCATATTCTACCTATTATTTCTGTGCTCTAGTTTTTCTATTCTTTCAATTTTTCAGAGCAGGGTCCTAAGAACAATGTACTACTGGTATAAATAAGCTTATTCAAATATTTCTTCCTTTACTGATTTTTGTTTCAATTTCTATGTTCCCACTTCACTGATATTTTTAAAACTAGGGCTTTATTAGTGGGAAAATAACTTATTAGTGGGAGAAGAAAGATATTACTGAATATCAGTAACTGTCTCCCACTGAATTTTATGTAGAATTATCTCCTATATTTTTCATTTCTTATACTGTTTATTGGGGATATAACTCCTGGGTCTTTTAAAAGTACGGAGACGCTACAGTTCAGAGAGGAAATAGACTTGCTGAATTATAATATGAAAAATCAAAGCACCCTGTACAAGATGAAAAATAACCTCTTTACGGAATGATTTGACAAAAAGCAGGTTAAGCTAAACAGCATTTTATCCAAATGAGATAACATTTCACTCTTTTAAAATTATGTTCTTCAAGCACACCATTAATAAGCAGAGTGCGGAGAACAATTCAACTAAACAATTTTCAGAGCTCCTTTGTGCTAATATCTTCAGCTGTGATCAATATAACCATATGCATTATGCTGAATTATGCATTTCAGCTAAAGATAGAAAGGAACTTTCAAAAGCAGGCCCTTAAACACATGCAGTTAATTTAAGCATTAACCAAATGCAAACTGCATTTACATATCCTTCCCCCACATATTCACACAATCTGAAACTAATTTGTACCTTGAATAAAGAGGTGAGTATTCTTTAAAAATAATTTGCCAGTTAGATGAATGACTACAAGAAGCCAGGGAAACATCTTCTGGCAAAGAACACTTGATACATGAAAAGGTAAATGTGTGAAGAGACTTCAAAGTAAAATTAAATAATTTCAAAATCTGTAATACAAAAAGGAACTTTCTAAATATTAAAAGATTTCCTTAAATGGACAGTTTCAGTTTTTTGTTTAGCATTTCCCTGGGGAAAAAAAAAATTGGTTTAGAGGCTGTGCTATTTTTCTTATAATCTATTGTAACATTTTCACAAAGAAAACTTAAATTATCAGACCTGTAAATTTCAGGTATTCAAGCAAAAATAACTAGAATCACAGTTGCATTAAAAATAAAGATTCAGTTCTAGCAATTTTTCTTAAGAAAATAATTGGATAAATGCATAAAGATCTGTGTAGAAAGATGTTCATGATATTTAAAAAAACTGAAGCTATTTAAAAATTCATCAATAGAAGATTGTAAAACAACCTATGGTACATCCTCACACTGGAAAACTATGACAGCCATTATAAATGATGATGTTGTGAATTTATATTTGTACTCAAGGAACAATTTCATAATAAATAAAAAAGCACATTATAAAATTATATGTATACATACAGAAACAACTCTGGAAGGATACACATAAAAATATTAATTGTGATTATCTTGAGGGTTGTGGGATTGAGTGATTTTTCAGAATTTTTTGTTTACTGGACTCTTTAAAAAAAGGGTACATGAGTTATTTTTATTACTCAATCTGAAAAAGACATTAAAAAAAGTAAAAAGAAACAAGATGAGGAATGGACTAGTTGCATTAAAATAACTTAGCAACTGTCGTTTCAGTAATTTAAAAGAACCCCCAGAATTAATCCAACAGCAATAAACAGGTTTTCTAAAAAAACACTGCCAAGATTCTATCCCCTTATAAGTTTCTTTCCAGAGACCAATTCAAATGTCTAAAGATAAGAGTTTTGGAATTCTTGATACCTAGGGAAGTACAGAAAGCACAGAAACAAGAAAAGTTTATTTCATTTCTCTTTTCTTTAGAAAGAGAGAGGAAATATCGAGCAATTCCACTTCAGTGAAAGAATTTATTGAGCAACTACTAAATAAGGCACTCTGTTAAGTAATCAATACTACACATTAAAATCAGGACGATGGATCTTTGACATAAAAACTTTTAAACATCTACCCAGTCAGAAATCATGTCACCATTTTATTCTCACAGTCTTCTAGAGAAAAATTCATAAACCACCTGTCATCAAATTTAGGCACTTGGTAAATAAATATTGCACACATATTTCATTGAAATTAAGACTATTGATTATTAGATGCATTCCAATTTCAGACTTCTTAAAATGTTGAAAAAAAAGTCAGACCATAATTTTGAAAATGTTATCAATTATAAGATGCCTCCCAATTTCAGAGTCTGCATTAAACTTTTACATGTTCTCATGCAACTGTTGGGAATGTTCAAAAGGAGCAACCTTATTATTGTATCACTGGATTTAGCTAGTGGATGAGAAAACAGATACAACCCTTGGAGCAAATAATTCATGTCCCTGGTTGTGCATTTGTGTGTATGTGAGTGTATGACAGAGTAAAGCAGACATCTACTTTGATTATAACTATTTTACTTCAATGAGACAAGAGGGCTGAGATCTGGGATTCATAACCTGAAACTTATTAATGATTATTATTTTAGCTGGGGCATCTTGACAAGGCTTCCTGGTATTTAAGTTCTCTGTCACAGAGTAGAATTAGACATCTCACTGTCAGAGAGATCTTCCCTGTTTGCCAGATCAAAAACATCCAAGCAACGATTTCTACCACTTTCTGTTGTCTTACATTGCCTTTTTTCCCCCCTTTTAACCCACTGCACTTGCCACCACCTGATGTATCACATATTTATATAATTATTGTCAGTTTCTCCCTATTGAATGTATGCTGCATGAGGACAAGGTTTTTGTTTACTCACTGTTGTATCCCCAGAACTTAAAACAGTGCCTAGCATGAACTGGTACTCAAACACTTGTTGACTGTTGAATAAATTTAGGGAAATTAAACAAATTAAAGACAACCTGAACAGGATTAACTCAGAAAAAACAATTCCTTTGGCACATATGCTAAACTGAGTAAAGAGAAATTCTGAGCAATCAATAAACTCCTAAGAGTGGATGGCTGTTAACACAGGCTGTGTCCCCCGTACGTAGCAAGGTGCCCGGCAGAACAGTAGGCACCAAAGTACTTATCGAGTCAGTGACTAACAGGGAATAACACGCATGTCTGAAATGAGTAAGTCGGTAGTCATTTTACATGTACCTCTTTCAGTTTTTAATCTGTCAAGGATTTCAGTTTTGTCTGTTAAATCAGATTTCAGAGCAGTCTCCAGTTGAGCAATCTGTACTCTCAGCTGCTGTTCCTTTAACTTCCATTGCTCTTCATGGGCAGCACTGAAGGCACTGCAAAACACACGTGACATGCAAGGAAAGCTTGGAAATCAGCTTCAACCGAAAATAATAAAGAGAAAAGCTTTTAGTGGCACAGAGACCACTGTCATCATGTCTTAGGAATTAAGTAAACATATGCTGGTCTGCTGCTGTTGAAACCAAGGCGCCTTTCTCAGGCTGCGGTTAGGGAACATGAAAGAGTTTGTGGGATGAGCAAAGGAACTGGCCTTAATTTAGAGCTCTAAAGTCAGAAAAGTTGGCAGTGAGCAGCTTTTGTGGGACTAGTAAAGGAATTCAGATACCGTACATACTCCAGAGGAATCCACAATTTCAAACCTCAGCAGTAGACATCGGACAAAACCATTCTCTCCCACGAATAAACCCACTTAATGTGGAGAAATGGAACTCTCCACCTGATCTCTAAGTCTAGAATCTGAAACTTTTAAAGAGTCTGTGATAATAACAAAGTCACAAAATACTGGCCACAAAATGACAGCATATTGAACTATAAGACGGCAATTCTGATTATCAAGAAGCAGTGATAATGCAGTTTTTGTCCTAAAAACCAAAGAGCAATAGGCTAAGGAGAAATAGTTTTACTTTAACACATGGTTGGGATGAAAACCAAGTAAGAACACCTTAATAAGAATGATGTAGACAGAATTATTGTTCCTTAATAAAAGTGGAGCCGTTTAAACTATCATTAAAATCTACTAACGGTCAGGACCAGCATATTGAAAGAACCAGTTGCAAATAACTAAATGATATGCAGGAGGTATACAGTAAACATTTGTTTAGGCCAGTAGGTTCCCGAATGCTGGTCTAAATGAGACACTGGTGCTAGATTAAAAACGAAGGTCCTGGGGCCCAGGAATTCATAGTTTTATAAAGCCCCAGGTGATAGCCAGGTTTTGGAAAAACTGGTCTCGATCTGAACTTCAGCAGAAAACTATTATCTGTGAAGCTTGATATGACTGAATAATTATCAGCAGCTTTGACCCTACTACTTATTTTAAACCCAGTAAATGAAGCAGAAATACACAAAACCTGGTTTTGTACTGATGAAGTAAATGGAAAAGAAGCTTGTTATTGAAAATTGCCCTTCATGTTGCTTGCAGCTAGTCTGAGGTTTTATTCCAAAAGAGATACTTCTCTGGGAGGCACAGCTTTCAAAAGAATAAAGCTGTGAATTTATTTTATAGTTTGAATGTTTTTATTGCATTTAGAATAATATGTTCTTAAAAATAAATGGAATTATAGAAGTTTCTCTAAATATGACATCTGTTTCTTCTATCAATGTTCTCATTTCACATATGGATACGGAACCTTAAAAAATGCATGAATTTGATATACCAATATTTTAAGTTAATTTTATCAAAGGTGGAATTACCTAGGTCTAAATGAAATCCAAATAAAATATGTACTTTAAATACTAAAGAATATTCCCTTCCATTTTCATTTTTTAATAAAGAACAAATATATTTCCATGCCTGGTCAAATTATATACACCAAATACATACATATATATGCATATTTGTGAGTGTATATGTGTGTATGCATGTGTGTGTGTCTCATATTATTAAAAACATGTACTACCCGGAAAAAAAATTAGCATGATGAAATAGGCACAACCATACATTATATCAGCCACCAAAAATTAGAAACAGTAGTGTTCCAATAGCATTAGTACCAGCAAAAAGATCACCAACAGTTAATCTGGCAGAAACATCAGAAGCTGTATGTGTTTAAATTAAGAACAATTTAGCAGCCTGGTTTTTCCAAACCCACAAAATACTAGTGTAAATCAGCATAAGTCACTCTGAATTTAGTCCACTGCTATCTTCCCTCTAAATTTAGGATTACATTCCACTGGAGTTTCATGAGGAATTCCTTTTGAATTTACTGTATTCCTCTATGCTTGGAGCCATCTGTGTAACTATAAATGGTAAACCACATCTGGCTCCATTTTCTTTGTAGAGGCTGTGCACATGATTAAATCTGCATATGAGAACAGTCTTTGAGAACCTTTTATTCATGAAAATGTTTTTGTATATTGCCTACAGTGACAACTGAGCGGAGAATCATAGTTGGTCTTTGTGCACAATTCATTGTTGTATTATGTTGCAGGAGTGATAAAGTTATCAGCCTACAGTGGAATGCCCACCATGGTCAGCATACTGTAAACACACACCCTTGGTCAACAACATGATAAGACTGAAAAAAAGAGCTGAGAATTCATCTCCATCCTAAGATCTTTTTGCAGAGAGTCTATGGGTGGTCAGTAATGCTCCCTTAAACTTCGATAATAGATGACTATCACACTGTAAAGACTTGAATCACTCAATTCCTAAAACAGTTAATATCATCTTCAAAAACTGGACCAACTCTTCTTTTAAATAGGCATTAGATTAGTATCTCTCAGGGATTTAATACTTTAAAAATCACTGAATTCAAACTCAAGTTGACTGAATCTGAACGGGATGGTATCGGAGGTTGGGGGAGGGCAGGTGTGGAAGTTTCACAGGAGTGGTGACACCTACATTTTCCAGGTTATTGATCTATATCACAGTTGAAGGACTATTACATTCATCAGCTAAAACTATATTGTTCATCATCCTATAACCATCTTGACTTCAAAAATGGGATACAACATAAATATATTATAGTATAGAATGTCTCTCTGACCAAATAGATTTAATTGCAAAAATTTTATTCTGAATTTTTTAAATGAACATTCCTTAAAGTTATACTTATTTCTTGGCATTGTATCAAAAATATTTTAATATATTAAAAACAGCTCATACCAAATACTTACATGAGGATTTTATCTTACCAGATGATTCTCTAATATGTCATATGTCAAGTAATAAACACATTCAAAATATCATTTGAAAAAGGAAGATGAGAATGCAATCTGCAAAAATGCAAATCACATTTTTCTCCTGCAAACTTGCCAATTTTGAATAACAAACAAATGCTTTCCTTTAAAAACATGCTATCACTATGACTAACCAAGCAAGGAATAAATGTAATTTGTGATGAGCATTAGTTATTGGTAATGATGAAAAACATTGCCATGAAATACAAGAGCTGTAAAGAATCTTAGGGAGGATGTTGATTTTTGTAAAGTTTTTTCCAACCATGCTTCTGAAAACATATTATATATGAAAAAAATTGTGTCACAGAATTTTATAGTTCTATTTACTATCATGTGTGCTTGCTGGGTTTTGTGCCTAAGTGACTTTTTTTGACACAAATGTTTTGACACTTATTATACACATTTACTTCCAAACACCTCACACAAAATTCAAGTATAAGCAGCATAATGAAGTTTATTTTTAATGTGACAGGAAAAAAGGTTGCTCAAGCATAAAACATTAAAAAAAAAAACAACCCTTCAAAGTCAGATTTACACTCTTAGATCATCTTCTAATATGGAAAGATAAAGTTTCATGGTGATAAACTACATATGAGAAAAACATGTCTTTCTTAAAATTTCATTTATGCACCATTGCTAGCTAAGTTTAATGTTTTTAATTACAAGAAAGTATGTTCAGTATATCCTCAAATTGGGGGTAAGTAGAAAATGTATAAGTAATGACCAAATGGCACTTATTTTCATATATTAGGGCCATGTTAAATTATTTAAAATTACAAGATGTTGAAGATAAATATAAATGAATAAAAATATGTGAATTTATGACAGTTGTTATTCCATGAATGTTTCCCTTTCTCATACACAATTTTCCATTGCAATAAAAAATCAGAGGGATAGTAAGGCGCAGGGAAAAAAAATTCAAGTTTTAGAGTCAAAAGAAATGAGTTTTAGTACTGTGCTAGACTCTCAGCAAATGCCACATGACTGTCAAGTCTCTTAATTTTTCTTGAGTCTCAATTCCCTCGAGATGGGGATAACATCATTTTCTCTGTTATATATAATGTGGTGGCTGTGTGATTTGTACACTGAAATTTAAAATTTTCAAACACGTAACTACCAAATACTTAAGTACATAACAATATAAACCTATGCGTTGTTCTATAGAGATGGAAATATTGTAAAACAGGAGGTGTAAGAAATGCTTTTGGTAAAATTAACCAAGGCTGATGAGAGACGGACCAGAACAAAGCACGAGGGCCAAATCACCTGGAAGGGGGTCTAAGGCAAATCCCACCTAAAGATTTTCAGTCAGTCTAGCCTTGCTGGAGAGCCCCAGGTGTTACTTTAAGTGATGTCTGAACCTGCTGTTAGCCACCCTTAATATAATGAGCCACTCTGTAGAGATAATTAACACTAGTACAAGAGACATAGATGATGCATACCGCTGGAATGAGACGTAACACTAATTTAGGTGTCTTTTCATAGTCAACCAAAATCAGAGCCTCCCCTTACACTTTTTAGGTATGATTTCTTTAATTTACCAAAACTAAATTCAGTTTATAAAACATATCAAACATAAAACATAGACAGTTAAAAAGTTAAAGGTATATCTGTAGATCAGATGGCTATTTTCTGGTGTTTCAAATATGATCCACGAGAAGTAACTGCTGAACACCAGCTCTAACATATGTATTTCAATATATATAAAGTTTACTTTCATGTAAACTGTATGTATCATTTATCAGCATCATACACTGAAAAGACTTAAAAATACACACAGGCACACATCTGTATCACTTAACTAAATTTAACTGTGAAGCCGAATTTTATTGCTAACATTATCAGAAGGGATTAATTTTTAAAATACCATAATTATGAAGCGGATTAAAAAAAGTGAAGCAGCTTTTTAACATTTATCTTAAGATAAAGATGCTTGTGTTTCTCTTTATAAGACACAGAAATAACTGTAAGTGAACACCTCTGCTTTTCCACCAACAGAATCACTCTCAGCTAATAGGCTGGACAGCCCAGCGGAGGAAACAGGGGCTTGGAGAGACCATAAGAGGTTCAAATACAAGCTTCATCACTTCCTAGCTTTAAGAACATAGGCAGATTTACTTAATCCTGTTTTCCTTTCATTGTCTGCAAAATGGACATTTATAAAATCTACATTTCCAGGTTGTTGTGAGAAAGTTACAACAACTTATGTATTTAGCTTACAGTTTGTGTTCAATAAATGACAGTAGTTGTTACTGGCAACAAAGGGATATGGTTTTCTTAGTAACCATACTGCCACTCAGGTTAAAGAACTTACTACTAGGGCCTAAAAAAGCTTATTTTTCTTTTATAACACATATAGGTTTCCTGCAATCATCTGTTGCTAATTGGTCAATATTAGGTATTCTGACATCCAATGCTTTGAGAGAAAGATCTCAAACAAGAGAAGGAGAGAGCACATGGAATCGTGGTTTACCTGTTATAAAGTTTATCATAGTTTTCCTTTAAAAGTTCCCGTTCCTTTTCTAAGTCATGAATTCTATCCTGAAGCTAAAATGAAAAAAAAAATTACACATTAGGTGGTTATAAAACCATGTGGGGGTTAAAAAAAAATGCAAGGAAGCTAACATGTTTCAGTCTTGATTTCTAACTTGCAGCTGCGAACTAGCCCACTTATATTGTCTGTATTTAATTTAGCACTAATTTTTTCCAAGTTGTTAAGTAAACATGAAATTAATATTTCTGTTTTAATTTAGTAGGAACTATGCACTGCTTTATAGCAACATGTGCCAAAACTCAATAAAGAACGTGTTAAAAGCTTGCTGTTAAGTCTGAGGAAACATAATATTTTTTACTTTCCTCTCCAATGAATTTCATCATTACATTCATTTTGTATTTATTTCCATTTGGCCCCTCAAAATAAAAGGATGAAGTTTTCTTTTGGCTCATGGTTCAAACTGTGTCAATCACTATTTACTCTGAAGATACAATTTCTCATTTCACCTAGAATTTATTAAGAGCCAGTAGCACATCTTTTAAATGAACGAATAAATAAAATTGTACACCTTGTTTCATCCCGATGAATAATAGTTCTAGAAATAAACTCAGGGTAATAATTATATCTTTATGACTAAAAGGTAGCTTTCTGTATATATTTCTAGTATTTAAGTTTCATTCACCAGTATATTTTACTGTTACAACCTTTTCCCATGGATCAGAGTACTCTTAAAATTCATTCCATTTTCAGAATTCTCTTTTGATGCTAGTATACGACACCATAAAAGATTCTTCCAAGACGAGAACAGAAGGTAGGCATCTTATTTCATTTCCATTCTCTTTAAGAACAAGTTTAACAGCCTACAGAAAAAGATTGTGCTGGCTGGGAGACATGAGAAGCAACACGAATAGGAAGATGAGTTTTTAAACAACTTCCTAGAAAAAAAAACAATTTCACAAACTTGCTGATGCTGGGAAGAACATCCTTCTCCTTAGAAACAGACATATTCCTATAATTGTTCTGATATCTCCAATGACTAATAAGTTGTTAAGGCTGAGAAAGTTAAGTTCCACAGGTAATCCGGCATCCATTTAAAAATGTTACGGGTTTCTTTTCCCTCAAGGATCCTTAATCCTTTAGATAAATAGTGGGTCTCAGCACACTTGCAAGGATTTTTAAGCACAAATTTGCCATGCACGTAATATACTGACTATATTTTGCTGTGCTCAGAGTGTCATGCACGTAATTTAGGATTTTTAAGCCAATATAATATTTGAAATGTCTCTATTTTACTTTTCCAAAACAATTCCAGAGAAGTTTTAATGCAAGGGATGGCTAAACTCTTTCAGAGCTTACCTCCTCTATTCTCCTTTCAGAAAACGTCATGGATCGCAATTGTTTCTCAAGACTGCAGCATTTTAAACGCTGCTCTTTAAGTTGCATATTTAGCTCGTCTCCATTTGCCATCAAGACATCATGGCTGATCCTGAGAGTTTTTTGCTTCTGAAAAAGAAAAAGGAAATCCTTTCAAAATTATTTTCAGATTCTGCTTTGAATGAATGATTACCATTCCATAAATGAACTTACTCCTGAAGTTCATGTTACACGGTTTATCTGGTTTATCTTGACCTCACAATGTATATATGTTACTGTATTAATATGCTATTATACAGTGTACAATTTCTCCGTAAAAGGCACTCTTGACCAAAGTGTATCATGAGGAAGAAAATAGTTTAGCACAGAGTCATACTGTGCAAACTGTTTTTGTCTTTGTTTTATTTCCTCCTTGTTTTTTGACTTGTTAATAGTGACTACTGAGTAAATTAGTTTTAGTAATTAATTTTTTTTTCTTTTTGCTGCGCTCAGAGTGGCTGGACATGCTGTCTAAAAATGCTGCTGCATGGGTTAAAAATAAATGCTGACCACAGATATTCAAACTGAAAAGATTTGTCACCACACCATAAAAACAGCCAACTTCTAATTTTAATACACTTAAGTCAAAAATTTCAATTCAGTAAAATAGTTACTGAAGTCTCCTTAACTTTTAAAATTGACTTGGAGGGGAAGGACATAGCTCAACTGGTAGAGCGCTTGCTTAGCATACATGAGGTTCTGGGTTCAATCCTGGTACCTCCTCTTAAAAAAGTAAATAAATAAGCCTAATTACTCCCCCCTCAATTGACTTATTTATGAATATGTCTTAAATTCAATTTTATATACTTAAATGCCACATACTTTTTTTTCAAATAAAAAGGTGATTATACTAAAGCATTTTCAGAGTCCATATGACCATAACATATAATATCTCATCTGCTAATTAAAATCACTAAACTACTGAAGTTCTTCAATTATTTAAAAGAAACACGGGTGTTGAGCCACTTGACTGCTGTTTTTGTTAGTCTTGGTATGATTACAGAATACTACCTTTAGCTAGCTTTCTCTGGGCTTTTTGCCTTATTGAAGCTGTTGGTCTGAACTTCTCAACTCTTTACCCACTGTCAATCCCAAAAGAGGTACCTGTGCTATCGAAGACACTTGCTATTCACGGTATTTAAACAAATACCTTGAGTCACCGTTAAATGGAAAGCAAAACAGTTGAAGTGATAAAGGAATGCAAAAATCACTTTTTGATTCCCTTCTTTTTAGATTTATTTCAACTATCTGTATTTTTAATCTTTTCCCTGCAGGATGGAGAACACGACCCAGAGTACAGTTTAAAAATATTTCTCTCATTCAATAGTGAATTTAGGCTTCAGATGACCTTATGCTTTGCAACACTTTACTGCTTTCCTTGTTTCAGTACTTCAAAGAAAGTACTGCTTAATATGAATTCTGCTCATCTGGAATGTTTTGGAGTTCATTAATTCCAGAACCCACGTTAATTATGCAGTGCTAATAAGTAGGAGCTCTCTGATGGCACATTCCTGTGGGGCCACAGTTCTTGTTAAAACAACCATGGGGATAAAAGTCCTAAGTACTGTCAACCTGAAAGGTTAGGATTAAAAAAAATAATAACACTAACAGTTGTCAAGATGGGTATTCAAACATTTTCTGATACCGGTAGTGACAAAACAAAACACCACATATCAAAGAAGATTTAACAAAACCTGATTACTGACCTACTCATTACTTGGATCTATCTTGGATATTTCAGAAATGCTTAGAACTGAAGATATATGCAAATATATCTAAACCTTCAGTGCTATGTGCCCACAGGATTTCAGTTAAAAGGAGTTAAAAATAAATTTTCTGGACATGAGATGAGTTATGATAAATGTGCTTATTATTTTAAGATGACACAGCTATTTACAAAAAATCCAAGCAGTTAGTTATTTCTTTAGTTACTAAGTAATAAATAACTAACAATATATGAAGTGAAATTATACACACTCGAGAATAAGAAGAGCAATCTTTAAAAGTTACTTTTTAGTGTTATGACCATTCTACTTAAAAAAAAACCATGAACTCTATTTTTGAAACTTTGCATCTATGTATCATCATAATAAAATAATCACAGTACCTCTTGAAGCTGAATAAATTTTCCTTCCATTACTGAAAGAGCATTGCTTTTCTCCACTAGCTGCTTATGAAGCTTAATCATTTCTACGTTGTCCCGAATGTTTGACCTTCAAACGATGTATTTAAGAAAAAGAGAGAGAATAAAAAATGCAAGACAGAAGGAAAAAAGTCTGTCGTGGGACTACAATTTTTCACTGTATGTTACCTAGAAAAAAATTCACACTTGCATTATCAGTCACTGAGGTTTTTAGTTTATTACACCTTCTAAGGATAGATTTATTGTTTAAAACCAACCAATAATCATTCTTGAACTTTCCTTAACTCATAGACTCTCACAGTTTGAAGGGAGACCCAAATTTAATGACTTCTATCACCTCTACAACAAGGGATAATATGAATTTAAAATCATTTTCCAGTGTCCTGAAAGATGGTGCAAAAGGCCATCGGTCTTTAGCACAGCCATTGTTCCACCACCAAACTGCTTATTTTAAGGACGACTATCATACCACTTTTCACTAAATGAAAACGTGCAATACAACCACTCATCTTCCCACCACTCCCTCAAAACAAATGGTATCATAAGATTACCATTTATTGGCGTTTCCTCCTGGAGTTCAGACTTTCCAAAATATTTCCAAAAAAAGTGACTTAGCATTTTATACTAATAATGCCCAAAGCTGGCATTTAAATATGTTGCAGATGTGCCTTTAGCTGTAAGAGATCATTTAACGTCCACAGGGTATATAGAAACTCTATATCCTGCAATACTAGTTTGTATTTTTCCTACTGAGATTAAAGCAAATGTAGAATTTAACAGGAAGATCTTGTTAAAGGTTAATCATAGATCTAAATGAGTCCCTGTTTTCAAAAGGCATTTATTTTCCTGACAGAGAAAGGTTCCTTAATTTCATATGTTTTACATTCAAAAGTATTTTAAAAATTGTGAAGCTTGGTTTTAGACTTCATCTTTTAAGAAAAAATAAACATAAAAATTTTAAGTTCAGAAAATTATTTCAGTATTTAAAGTGAGCAATTTTACTTCCAAAACTTATCTAGTGTACACATATTGGAAAAATTGTCACAATGCCCTATTGGAGCCAGAAAATGGACTACAAAGCTCACACATCTGTAAACCAGCTGAGGACTTGAAATACTTAATTTTCCTCTTTGATATTTGAAAGTTCATTGTATTTTGGCATCGGACAGTTAGTTGTCCTCACACAGAAGATAAACAAGTCCAAGAACCTGGATCTTGCCCAGGGTACAGTCTTAACACAATGTTAAAATAATTGTGTGTCTAAAACATGTTATCTAGTAGTTCTGAGCACACAGTCAACAGTGCACTCACTAACATTCCCTCAGTATTATTTTTACTCACTAAAAAAACTATGAAGGGAAAATATATTGTGAATAGGAAGAAAATATTCATATTTTTCTGTATTAAAAAGTCAAAATAGAATTTATCTGTCTTCCCCAGAATTACTTGGTTTGACTAATCCACAGAGTGACATTTATTGATACAAAAGGACAGAACATTATTCAAGTAATTTCAACTCTTATATTTTCAGCAGTATCTGATATTTTATTATTCTTGTTTTTAGCATGTAAATATTTTCAAGAAGATATATATATATATATATATATGAATGAAATATGTTTGAATAATAACTATTACTTGATGATAGTAACAAAGGATTAAGCCCCAATAACCCATCTAGCCACATAGGGTCATAGAAATAGCAGGTTTTCATTTTGAATTTTCTTTGTAAGGCAAAGACTAGTAAGTATCTTTCAAAAATTTTCACTGGTCTAATTGGTGGATACCTTCTTAAATATTTTCCTAAAGTCTCTGGAGTTTAAACTTTTCAAAATATTGCCAAGAAAGGTGACTTAGTATTTTATACTAATGAGGCCCAACAAGTGGGCACAAATACAACAGAAGTTGTATTTAGGAAACAGCAATAATAATGCGGTACTTTAAAAAAAAAAGTCAGTTTGCTAGATTACACCTATTCTGGGTCAATACAACACTTGAAAGTCTTTAATTGTTGTAAAGTGTCAGTTTTTGGGGCTTTATACATAATAGTCATTATTATGATTTTTGATGGAACAATGAGAAGAAAAGGATAACTTGCTGTTAAGCTGAAAGTGCTGAGTCAATGATACAAAGTACATTAAAGTTAAAAGCAGCAGTGTGAAGAATGTGGTTTGGTCTTCAGGAAGGTGTACAAAGAAAAATGATCTCGAGCCTGCCAATCAATATTTTTACATAAATGAAATGGTGAAAGAATGAGGGTGGATGTGAGAGAGGAAGAGGGAAGGAGACGCCAGAGAAAGCTGACAAGGAGCGTGAGAAGGATGCTGGAGGCAAGAAGGGGCTAGAGTCATTGCTAAGTGGCCCATCCTAGATCTCTCCGCATGTGGAGGAAGGCCTCCAGCTGGTTTTCTTTGAAGGACAGAGACGGCGAATTTTACGAGCAATATTTCAAGTGATTGCCACATAAGATTTTCCTGCCCTGTTCCACGCACTATGAAGGGAACATCAAGTCTTCAGGATGAAGACATTTGAACAGCAAGAACAATGCATAGTAAAAACAGTCAGATGAACTCTGACAGGCATGCACCAAATCATTCATGCTGCATTACACATGGTGAAATGATCTGCAAACAGATATCAAGAATACTAATCAAATACCTTGTAAAAATAAATTTCTTCTATTTTTCAACTAAGATTTTGAAAAAATTATGAACATAAAGTTGGAAAGTACAGTTTCTTTTCTTTCTTTTTCTTTTTTTAAAAGACATATTATTTAGAATTATAATCATATCTTCTTAAAACTATGAGAAGAGCTGTTGGCCCATCTCTAAGATTAAAAACAAACTGAAATAAATTAGATTTTATGTTGAAAAAGTAATCCAGCTCAAAAACCTATGTGCCAAGTTTCTCTCACATAATTTGAAACAGTCAAGTAATAAACTCTGAAAGAGGAATTTCTAATGGAAGCCTTGAAAACACTTGACTCCAGCTTTGCTACTGGGTGCCATAATAAATCCAGAAACTTAAAACCTCAGATACACTGGAGAAGGAAAAACTTACAGTGGTGCTATGTAATGTATAGTCTAATATGAAAGCTTAAGAAGCCAAAATCTTTTGCTCCAGTGAAAGTTTCTTATACTTCATTTCCCAGGCATAAAACTCTCCCCAGGCCCCCAGTCAGAATTTCATTCTTTGCTGCAGTACAGATTATGAATGCTAAAAAAAGGCTTCTTGATTTTTTTGAGGCAAAATGTTATAATGTAGTACTTAACACCATTTAGAAGAGAGGGCTTTAGAATACAAAAACTAGGCTATGAGATTCTGGAAAGTTGTTAGGTAAGATATTTATAAGACAGAACGAAGAGGTTCTTTTCGAGTAACAGTTTTAGGCTGACTAAGTTTAGGGCATAAGGCTGAAACAATCTAAGGATTAAGGAATCCTATACGGTTTTATTTATTTTTTAATAGTGGCAGACATTCTGCAAGTGTATTGTTTAAAGAAGTGTCAGTTATTCATAGCTCTTCCTAGGGATACACAGATAACAATCAAGGTATCACTTCTGAATAGGATTGCAGGAGGTTGCTAGTAAATTAAATGGAATAAGCTTCACTAAAATAGCTAAGAAGTCTATTTGAAAGGTAATGAGTTCGCTCAAAACTGTTACTTTAGTTCCTAAATGAAAATAATGCTCTCTGATCTAAGATTGTGTAAAGGAAAAAATTTGTCTCTATGTTTATTTGCCTCTGGATTGTATCTTTCTTGTGCTGTTGGCTAAAAATATAAATCAGAACTCAGCATTTTCTTATTGTCAACCTCCCCCAGCTCCAAGGAATAGAGGGGGACAGTTATACAGAGCTTTCTGCATATATATAATTACACTCTTCTGAAAATGGAGGGAGCACTCCCAAGGACAGGTTGGGAACAGGAAGAACCCAAATCCTGGCTCATCTTCTCAAGGGGATCATTTTGAAGGTCAAGTTTAATGGATTCCAACTAGTAATGGGAATCTGAGAATTATATTCAATATATCAAAAAGCCCAATGGGAAATGTAGATTTACTGGCAATTAAGTTACAAAAGTGAACTTAAGGTTCATATTGTTTTTATTTTTTGACAGAATTATACCAAATCAGTGCAGTAACACAGGCTACTTCTCAATTATCAGAAGCAATGATTGGCATCATACAGGTCCTGGATGAAAAAAAGAAGTACAAACTGACTGAATTAATACAAACTACTTATTTAAATCTTTCAGAATCACAGGTCCCTGGAGATAAAAGCTGCTGTTTGTTTAAAGGGTAGGGAACCACGTAGTCATTTCAATCTCTTCATTTCACAGTTGAGGTAGCTAACTGAGGCTTAGAGAAGAAAAGAATTTGGCTAGAGTCCTTATGGGAGGGAGCCAGGCCTAACAGAGAAATTCTTCCCACTCCTTTGAGTTGCTTCCTTCCTCCGAGATGTTCCTAAGTTTTAGCTTTCTCTCCACTCTCACATACACAGTAATACTCTAGTTTCTATTAAATGTGATAATTTCTGTGGTTTAAATAAAGTGCTTGGAAAATATGCCAGGCAGCTATCACACACACACAAATCTTAGATAACATTAATAATAAAAAAAATAGGATAAAAGACATAGTATTTGAATGTGATATTTTTCATTAGGCAAATTCGAAGGTATTCAAAACAACAGTAAGAACTTGAATATATATATTTTTTTAATGACAGATCACTTCCTTGTGTAATAATAATGTTTGCATGGTTATCCCTGGCCCCAGTCATCCTTCTATCCGAGAACCAGATGTGCCCTCTAAATTAGGGGGCTGGGCAATCAGACAAATCCAAACTGAGGGGCATTCAGCAAACAACTATCAATGGGCTGAAAAAGACGGGGGAACCACTCTAGAATAAGGGAAACCTAAAAGACACAACAATTAAATAAAATACATGACACCTGATTGTATACGAGACCAAAACAAAGCAAAACAAAATAAAAATAGCTGTTTAAAAAAAAGCTATAAAGGCCATTATTGGGACAATTGGGAAATTTGAATACGGTCTGTGTAGTTAGATGATCCTACTGTTTCATTCCTTGTTAAATGTCCTGAATGTGTGATAGTTGTACTGTGGTTATGTAGGAGGATGTCCTTGTTCCTAGAAGATGCTTTGAAGTGTAGAGAAGCGGATGTGATAAATGTGCCTAACTCTGAGAGCGAGAAAGAGAGAGAGACTGAGAGAAAGAGGAGGAAGTGCGAGGGAGGGAGATGGGCGTGTGCCTGAGCTGGCAGAATGCAGAGCAGGCTGTGTCATTCACAGACACGCCAAGGGGTGAAAGGTATGTGAGTCTTCATGCTACTGTTCTTAGAACTTTGCTGTAGGTTTGCCATTTTTCAAAATGAAAAGTTGGGGAGGAACTCAGAGCGCCAGGAAGTAATCCATGTCTGTGCACAGCTGGAAAGATGGAGCCCCTAAAGCCAAGCTGCTTCTTATACTGTGTGGCTGCAAAAGGCCTCTGTGTTTTAAGATTTGACAGTGTGCTGTCAACCAAAGGGAACAGGGCAAGTCAGTGCCTGAAATATTTATGGGTTAAATTTCCTCCATTGGGACATTATGGCACTTACATGATTTTTAATTAAGAAGGTAAACATCCTAACATTTACTTTAAAAAAAAAACAACCACTTAGCACAAACTAGTTACACATTTGGTAAGAGTATAAATATTTTTGGAGTTGAAAAAGTCAATAAAAGGTAAAATCATCCTGATTTTAATGTTCATGTACATGTGTTCACTGGTTACTGCTTTGCATTTAATTTAAGACGGTCTTTTTAATAAGCAGAAAATGTGCATTTTTATATTGTTTAAATTTTAATATGGATTTTTGTTCAAAACAGCACAGACATTCAGGCTACTTGTAAATGATACAAGATTTTTTGCTAATGAGGCATTATGTAGAACATATGCAAAAATCACAACTCAGTCTTCCAAAATAGACCACAATAACAGGAAAAAACATGATTTTAATAAAAAAGAGCAGCACTGGGCTTTTACTTCAAAGCAATTAAGGGCTTTGGATAACCAAAAGTTTATGTCAAGCCGATGCCAAACCAAACTGGTCTATTAAACACATGCTACGAAGAGTTTCTGTAATATTCTATGAAAAGGCTCTTTGCCATAAATATCCAGCACCGCACTCTGAAGACTACAACTACGTTAGGTTCATGTTTGAGAACAAGGAGCCCAACATTCAGATCAGACTTCTAGAGTTTCAAATCTGAAATAATGTATCCGTGAAAGAGAAGTTTAAATATGTTTTCCATTTTGTGATTTTTCTCTACAGTAAATTATATCAAGTTTTATACTCTCCCCAACATTTTTCAACAGTTTTCCATTAGTCTCAAAAAAATTGCTGTTACACATAAAATTTTGAGCTATGTGTAAACATATAAGAAAAAAAGACTTGAAGGCCCTTATTTGAAGTCATTCCTTCAGTTTTCAACAACTGCATTTCACGAAACAATGTATTATTCACCACTGGTACTGTCCTTCTAAGCAAATAACCTGTAGTTTTCAATTTTATAAAATCTGTGAGGTAGGGTACAAATTGGTTTATTTCTTTGGTCTCTGCAACAAAAGTTTCTTTACCTGTAATACCCATTTTGTCTCTACTTCTAATTTTTGATGTGACAAAAAACAGACTACTATGGAGTGAATAATATAGTCCCCTGAGGAAGGCCTCAGTTTAATTTTTTTCTTTTTTTGTGTGGGGGAGGGGGAGATAATTAAGTTTATTTATTTATTTGTTTATTTTTAATGGATGTACTGGGGATTGAACCCAGGACCTCCTGCATGCTAAGCATGCACTCTACCACTTGAACTATACCCTCCCTTTGGCCTCAGTTTAATTTTTCAGGTAAACTCTTCTATGTGTATATGTTGATGTCTCTTGCTGACAATATTTACAGTTTAAAATATGTGGGCCCTTCTATCACTCTATTTCTTCTGCTGTTCGAGTCCTAGGATTGAAGGCATTTTGTATCTCCCTTTTAACTAACACTGAAAACTCTAGTTCTCAGATGATCATACCCCTTTGAAAGAAGGAATGGCCAACCCAAGGTCCATCTTACTCTTTGGGAATTTAAGAAATAAACAGAGAAAGTAGTCTGATAACTGTACTCAGCTGTTGAGGAATGGGCTCCAAGCTTGGACTTGGCTTAAGTACAGAATTTTTATCTTCAGATAGTATTTTAAATACGGGCTATTGGCAATTTACTAATAAGATCACCATATTCAGTGTAGGGTCTGGTCCTTCAGTACTGTTCCTCACAAGAAACCATTTCTGAGTTTTTCCAAGAAGGCTAACTTTAAATCAGTTCTTCTTAGGGGAATATGGATAATTTCTAGGTATTTAAAACCCTGGTTCAAAACCAGCATTCAAATTGTATCCCCTAATACAAGTATAATTCTCAAAATTCATTTTTTTTGTCTTGCACTTAGAAGGGTATATAAATGTCACTAAATATATAGAATTTCATTACATAATTTAATTTTACACATAACTTTTTTAGGAACAGAAATTATTAGAGATAATACTAACCTTTTAAATCTCTGAAATATAAAGCTGTATATATATTTTTAGCCCTTTTTTTTTTAAAACAAGTCTTCTACTATGCATCTTTTCTTAGCTTTTTAAAGTACTACCATGTAAGATTAGTTTGTTGAAGGTGAATCAAACTCTTGATTCAGAAGTGAAAAACTGGAAAATCATACTTGGTTTTTCTAAATGGGAATCTAGCCACATGAGCCTGATATCCCTTGGAAAGGGAAAAAACATATTAAGGATCTAGGTCTGGTTTTAAGAAATAGTAAGAGAGAAATAAAAGACACGTAAAAGAACAGTCAAATGCAATGTGCAGACCTCATTTGGATTCCAATTCAAACAAACAATAGAAATATGTCTTCAGAGAAGTCTGACTATAAACAAGTTATTAGCTGATATTAAGGAATTGCTGTTAATTTCATGAGGTGTGATAAAGGCATGGTGGTTATGTTAAAAAAATTCCTTATCAGACAGATACATATATATATAAATAAATAAATATAGATACTGAAGCATTTACAGGTGCGATGACATGATATGTGGCAGGGGCTAATTAATTTAAGAAAAGGAAGGTGAAGGGATTGATGAAACAAGATTGGTTAACATGTTGGTAATTGTTAAAGCTGAGTGATGGGTACATGGGATTTCAATACACTACTCTCTCTACTTTTGGGTATGCTTGGCCCAAACAAAGAAACAAAAAGAAGAGAAAAGAAAAGGCTACAAAGGAAGAAAATAATTCAAGAAAGAATATGGTAGAAAGATAGTCTCGTTGGAAGTACAAGGTGGAAGTACAAAACGAGAGAAGAGGTATCAGGAACCAAAAAACAACAAGGAAGGATGGGAAAGAAAATACTGTGTGTTATCTCACATCAAAAATGAAGAGGCAGCAAGGAGACTGTGGAAGGGCCCCACTGTCTCCCTAACGATCAGCAGAATTCAATGCAAACTTTGAATATTAGGAGAGGTGATATCTTTACAGGATGAAAAAAAAACATGTACTGTATTATGGAATTTATTACCTTTTAAGGTTGAAAAAAAATTTACTATCTTATTAAGGTTTAGTAAGGCTGGACTTCTTCACAAGGTATGCCAACAACTGAGTCTTTGTCACACACATTTTTCTTGGTAGGTGCAATCAAATGGTATCAGAACTTCCTACAGGCTTGGCAAATGGAGCAAATGAGCAGAGGAAACAAGATGAGGCAGAGTGGGTTAGGGAAAAATGTCCTTACACTTGAGTTGCTGATAGTAGTTAGCAGGTCCTGAGCAGGCTTATATGCAGAATGTTAAGGAAAAACATGATTTTTAAGTAGACTAGACTTATCCTTCTATGGCACATGATAAAGTATTTTAAACTAATTTTGACCTTATCAAAGTGATATTTCTGTTTTAACATACCTTTGATCTGTAGCCTGCTGTTCTCGAAGCTGAAGAAGAGATAACTCAATTTCATTTTCTTTCCTCCTCAACTGAGTTTTCAGGATCTCAGCCAAGTGCTCTAACTCTTCTATCTGGTCTCTCTGTGACTGAATTACATTTTCTCTGAAATAAAGAATCTTTACAAGAATTTGTAGTTTGAGGAAAAATCTGCAGTATGTAAGATCAGTACAAAGAAAGTGTTTCATAATAAAAGCAAGCATTAAGTTAAAAATTTTAGCTTAAGTGCCTCTGGACATGGTGAAATAGTAGCAGATTAAATGTGATGATCTGGAAGTATATACAGAAGAATTGTACGTGTTGCTTTGTATAAGATAATGTCCTAGGTAATGGACTGGACTTCAGTTCAATTCAATTCAGTATTTATTGGCCACCTGCAATGTGCTCTATGATTTGGTCATCTTCAGATAATTCATGTGCCTTTGTTCTTTCAGTATGACCACACAAATGAACTAAATGAACAAAACCAGTTATACCACGCAAATGAACACTTCACAGAGAGATGGCAAGAAATTTGCAAAACACAACTAGCTTAGTGGTCTCTGGCTTCTATTTCATTTCTACCATGCCTGGCAGCATCCCAGTGTAATGAGCCTCAAAAAGCTGGTCTGAAATCTGGCTTTTCAGCTAACTAACCAGTAACATAATTAGGTCTAGCCTTTTAATTTTATTCTCTTACAGGTTAATCATGATTATATCTGGTATTTAAAATATTCAAAAGAAAAAAAATTTAAGCCTATTTTATTCCCAAGCAGCTATTCAAAGTAGGATACTCTTTGTCTCATGTTTTCTTTCCTCGCTCAGAATTGTGACTTTTTGATGATCCAGGCAAAGGCCTGTAGATAAGGTAGAACCTTATCTTCGTTTGTGTGACTTACAGACACTGAAATCATCATAAGGCTTTGATTAACTGGAAAAGTAAGCTCAATGTGGCAGAAGTAACGTTTCTGAAACCACAATATGATGAAGAATGCAGTACCGTAGAATCATAGTGAAACAAAATCTGAAATCCATATGTATTTGATAGCTCCAAATTTTTAAGCCACTCCCAATTTTTTTTAAACACAAAAAGGCCAATTAATTCGTGACCTAAAAAAAAAAAATTACCTCCAATTCTTCTGAGAATGAAAATGTTGCCTCTAAAGCTTATATACTATGCTAATGACTGGGCTTTATGCCATTCCTTTGGGGGTAGAATTATAATAAAGAGAACTATTCTCTAAAGGCGTCCATTGATGCAGTAGGTTACGTTGTTCATTTTCCTCATTTTACTGGAAACATGTTATGTAATATCTGTTCTTACCCCACAGATCTAGCTGTACTTCAATGGAGCAAATTATCTGTACATAAACCAATTTCGTTTAAAACAAAGGGAAGGGAGGGATCAATAGGCAATGCTCTATAATGACCACAAAAAGAATACGTACAAATTTCGTATTTCTCCTCTGGCTTCTTCAAGTAAACTGTTGCCATATTTTGTAGGCATGGGTTGCAGAGTTTCTGCTACATCTTTGTCTTGGAATTTAATACCTGAAGATAATAAGATTAGAGAAGTGAAGTTAGAAAGGAAAGACCCTTGATTTGCTATCATAAGGACATGTGTAACATAATAAAGTCTCTTAAGTACTGTGATACATGTGCTCTATTTAGTACAGAGAATCAGACATACGTTGCCATAGGAACTGTTAGATCTTAGGCACCAGCTGGCGTTAAATAAAACATAGCAGCAAGTATTGGTCACTTAACAAATTCTACTGTAGAAACCAAATTACCCAGAAATAGGTTCACTTACCTCAGATTTAGGACTCCTGAAGTAAATTCTGAAAGAACTAAAGTTTTAACTTTAGGTCTTTATAATATAAACTGAGGTGTGAAAGAAAAAGTTTTCAAAAACTTAATCTTTTTTAAATTATTTATGATAAAGTTTTTTTTTGATTTTTAAATTACTCACTCACACCCCTTGAACGTACATTTTGAACCTTATTTTCATTTGTGTGATTCATAGATAACTGCGAGTGTTAAGTCAAAATGTCTCCTGTACTTTGATTTATTCTACCTCAATAAGGAAATCCATATTTAAACAAAGGTAATTTGAGAAAGGATCATCAATAGGATTCCTTTAAATAAAACATTTTGCTGTTGCACTTAAAATGTAATTTTTCCTACAAAAATAGTTACATGCAATTTTACAAGCCTGGTCCCATTGTTAAAAATGAGACATACTTTTATTTATAGGAGTTACTTCACACTTAGAAGATAATGGAATTACTAGCTTGAGGTAAATAAAATATGACACATAATTTAGATTTTTTTAAATGTAGAATATAAAGGTCAGAAAAAAATTCATTCTCTTAAGAAAAGTTTACTTTTTAAAAATGAAAATTGTAATTAGGAATGATGGAACTGTTATTTGCTATTTCCAAAACTTTCAACGTTTATTGCTATAATCCAGTCTAAAGAACAGAACATCCTTTGCCTAAAACATTACAGTAGCTTACTGTGTTAAAATTCGCCAATTATATTATTTTGGCAGTAATAGTCATTCTTAAGCTTTTCTACATAAATCATGGAAACACTGAACATCACTACTGGAATTAAAAAAAAAACACTATACTCAAAAAATTGCTTAGAATTTACAGTATCATGGTGATTTTCCAATAGTTACACTTTAAAATGTATACACTTTGTACAAATCTTTCTATTGGTTCTTCACAATAAGAATTGTTTCTACATTACATTGATCACATCTTAAGCGAGTATTTCCTGTTTATCCTATTTATCCCAAGAAGCACAAACAGGAAAGGACAACATTTGCACAGCAGCTTTAGGGGTAAGGCTGCTTGTGGCCCAAGAGGGTCTGGGTTCTCATCCAGCCCCTAGTTCTGACAAGTCTGGCCTAATTCCCAGCCCCAAAGGTGACTTTGAAGAGTCTATTAAGGCTACTAAGATATCAACCTTGATAATGATGCCTCAAGTTTATTCAGAAAGACAGTACTTAGGAAAGCGTTCATCACTATTCAGTGCTTTGTGCAACTTGTATGTCCTGGACCCCGTACCAAACAGTGAAAAAGGTCCGAATTACTAAGAGTGTAAACACGAGGAGAAATTTAATCTACACAGTCACATTTTAAGAACTCTCTTGTTCTGTGGCTCTTCTATAGGCAGGAACTTCCATCAAACTCTCCTGTTTAAACAGCAATCCACAGCCCTAGTTAGCTGGCCATGCTCATCTCATATTTGGGGATCGCTTTTATTTAGCATAAAAGACCCTGCAGACTGCAGAGGTCATCTTGACCAACAACAGTCAAAGATGATAAAACTAAAGTTCAGAGACGATAAACGACTTTTAAAAGGTAAAATATATTTTTGTACGTTACTGTGGATCTACCATCTCCTGCCCTTTTTTCTAATCTGGTGTTATCACTCCATTTTACAGACAAGGAAGATGAGGCTCTGGGAGGTCAAGTGCTCCCTTCCTTGTAGAAAGTTAATTAGTGGCAGAATGTATTTTCTGATTTATAATTCACTATGATTACTTTGGTTATATTCAAAGTCCATTGCCAATCTCACATAGCTGGGAGTTGCCAAGCCCTTTCATCCTGCAGCTGCCTCCTGCTTGCGTGGAGGCCTTATTGACTTCAAAGGGACTCTGTCTAGGGAACAGATAGTGTTAACATTTTGGCTTGGAGAAAAAAAAATAGAACAAATTTTTCTTTCTGTTCAGATGGTGTTTTTTGTTCTCTCAATGAACTGAAAGTTTTACATGATTTTTTTATTTCCTTAAAAATGTTTGTTTTTTATGTGAAGCATATTCCAAACGAAGATGAATTAGAGCTAAAATCTTATTTCCTTCCCTCGTAGTGGAAATGAAAAAAACTTACTTAAAAATATTTATTGACTTTTGCTTCATTATAAATAAAGTTTGTGTGTGGATGGAGAGGATCAGGAATTTTTATTAGAAATATTTAGGTTCTGTCTATAGTATTGAGTCTTCTCTATGCAACTGAATTGCTTTGTAAGATGGGTAGATTTAAGGTGATTCATTTTCAAGATGAGGAAAGGGACCTACGATCATTTTTTGGAGATGGAAGAGAACTTTATGGTCATTTGCTTAAATCCTTTTATTTTTACATGTAAAGAAAACTCAAGTTCAGAATGATTAGGCTTGTCCAAGGTCACCAGATAGTAAGTAGAGGAGCAAGAACTCAATTTTTAAAACCTTAATTGTGTGCACATTCCACTGTCAAGCTGCCTCCACACAATGAGAGAGATTTAAATAATTCTGTAAAATTTATAGAAGGCGTTTGGATGAAGAACTTAAGTGTGATCATTCAGAATGATACTGTGATCATGTAACTAGCTAGTGGTTTCTCCATTTGCCTAAGTCAATATTTCTGCCCATAATATAAAAAAAACTTAAACTCAATTCATATTTTATGTAGCTTCATACATGCCTCTTCTGTGAATTAGGATGAATTGTTATGTTCAATGTTTTAACTAGACAAATTTGAGCACGATCCAGTGACTCTTAACATGATTTTATCAAAGTCAAAAAAACCAATTTTTCTGTCCCTTTCTAAAGACACTTAAAAACATGAATAATACAGCAACAAATCTGTGTGTGCAAAACAACCTGTGAAAACTTAAATTTAGGACTTAATGTAAGCTTTGTTTTACCTTTCCTGGGGCATTCCTGTAAGCCTGCATTTTCATTCGCTTTTCTACGCCCAGTGTTAACACGAGATTGCACATAACTGTATGGAGTTTGCCTGTAACCCTGGATCTGAAGTTGCTGTTTGGCTGAAATTAATCTGTTTTTGAGGGCTTCATTTTGTCTTTCAAGCTCATGAACTTTCTCTTGCAGCTGCTCAATCATTTCTTCCATTTCCACATCTCTTCCCAGCCGCTTGGGGCCGCCACCAACCCGCTCATATCTTTTCTTGTCATTAACTAGCCGTATTAACTTGGTGGCCATTCTAGGGAAATAATAAAAAGATGAAAAGGAATGTGAGAAGTCAGCATAAAATGCATTCTGTTGAAAGGAACATAATCACTGTGAAGACTTCAGTGCTGAACCTGAATAATAAATTTCAGGTTTTGATGTAACTATTACTGCCTGTGAAGAATCCTTTGATGATAATTGAAACCACTGGGCAACAATCTGCTTTATAGCACTGACAAATAACAGTTTCCTAAGGCTTATCATTTAAGGTTAGTAAAGAGAGGACACATATTTACTCCATATGTTTCTCAAATGCAATTTTTAACGCATGACCTTATGTAGGAATGCTGTATGCACTTAAATGTAGCTACAGATTGTGGATGTGGTGGGTTATATTTGCAAGCCACAGTAAGTTAAAACTTTTCAAAAGTGTATTAAGGCTATGCAGCATTTAGGTGATACATTGTTTTCAGTTTCTCCAGGATTAAGATATATTACAAATACAAAAATGTTAGAGTGCATAGATACACACATATTAAAAGCCCAATGAAAAATTCAAAAGAAACCAAAATGCACCATTAAATGTTGCTTAGACCTCGAGAAACATGCGAGTTTAATGGTAGAAAAAAATTAGATACAAAAGTATTATTTCAACGTTACTTTTAAATTTAGACATACATTGTGCTTTTGACATCTCAGAGGTTTATACCTTTGATTCTTTTAAGTTTTGATAAAAACTGGTTAGACAGAACAAAAGACAGAAAGGGCACATGGGGGTGATGTAATATACACGTACAGAAAACATGCTTGACAGTGAATGGAAAAATCTTGGCAGTACAAGAAAGAAAAGGTGGCTTTGATGAGAGACACAAGTTCAAGACTTTACAAAATTGGTCGCACATCTTCAATAGCTGATTCCAGTTTACAGTGAATCTATTTTTATAAAGACCCAGACAGGAGATTGAAAATAAAAACACACTTCATTTTTCTTTAAACGGGGTTTGCTTTATTTTAGCATGGTTATGGACAGAAGCTTTTACTTAAGAGAACAAAAGTGAAATAAAAAAAAATCCTTAATAGCTTTGGGATGTCATAGAACAACCTTTTCTTGCCCTAAGCAGAGTCCTCTGTAAAAGCGGTAGTCATACACGTCTATCTACACTTCTGGCTGTTCGGCCTCCAGCATGTGGCATCAGGGAGAGCTATGCATAACATAATCAGTTAAGATTGTTTTCTCTTTCCCTTGAGGCACATCCATTAAACATGCTTTATAAGGGATATAGGATAATAAAAACCAAGATCCAAGAGTACCACAAACACTCTAGTAAAATAATCAATGGATTAGTTCCTCTTCCACCTAATCCAGACAATGATATATCATTGGGATATCTGGGCAGGTATCATAGCCCAACAGAGCCACACACTTACCTAGACCTTTAATGAGTTTAGGGCCCTGAGCCCCTCCAAATGGCTTATCCAGAGAAATACGGTAGCCAACTAAATAAGATGTCAAGCTAAATATTTGACTCTTCTGTTACAGAAAAGACTTTCACAGAGATTACATTCAGAAGAAAGACACAGATTTAGAGCAGTCAACATCTAGAGAAAAATAAACAACCCCAATTTTTAAGGAAAGAAGAAGCACATCAATAGAGAGGCTTAAAATTTCTTCAAAGATATTCAAGTAAACTTTGTCAGGAAATATAAGATTGCATCTGTTTGTCCAGCAATAATTTTCATTTGATTATTTTATGATATTAATGAAATAAGTGATTGGGTAAAGTTTGAGTACTTAATTAGAAAGGTGTTTTATGAAATCTACATTTGTACTAAAGTAAGTGATTCTAATTATATCCTAAGGATAAATTTAAAGGCAATCCTTCCCATGTATCTAGGTAGTGTCAGTGGTGTGAAATTGAGAACAAATTTAGAGCTTTGGGTCATACTGGTCATTGGATCACTACTCTCAGGGCTGAGCTGAATAAAATCCCAGGAGGTTAAACAGCTTGAACATACCATAGGCTAGTGGCAGAGAGATAAAAGAACACATGCACACAACTTGATTCCTAGCCTAGTCCTTTTTCCATTAAACTACATAGCTCATTATGATTTTCTGTTTTTTGGCTAGGACGAATTACTAATGAGGTCAAGGTTGTGAATTCAACTCTTTTACTCACCAATTAGGATTACAACGAAAAAAATTGTTTAGTGGTCACAGACTAAATGTCTCATTCTGACAGGGTGATGGGCATGTTACTGGTCAGAAAAGGAACTGGGCAAGTTGAGTCACGTGTCTTGAAAAAAGCCAGCATCATGACTCAAAATCCAACTCAGAGGAGAAGCCCTACACAAAGCAGGTCAGTGGGTCCTCGAAACAAAGTCCACAGAGTAGAAACTGACCAGAATCACTCTTTTAGAGGCTAAGTTCTAAGCAGAGAAAAACCCCTATCTTCTTTCTTCAGTGGCTACCTCACCTTTTCACTGAACCTAGAATAGGAATATAAGCCCCGACCTGTTCATGCTTATAAATGAGAATGAACTTTCAGTGCCACACATTCAGTAGATAGTCATAGTGTTTCTGAACAAGAAAGAATTAAAAATATCTACTCTTAAGAAATAATCCCTGCAGAATTTTTTTGCATACAAAAGTGACACTATTACTTCAGGAACAGCAGACTCTTCAAAATAAATACAGATTCTAGACTAATCCAAGGAAAGTTAAATATGTTCCAGATAGTGAAATGATGTTTTCATTAGGAAACCCCAAATCTTAAAGGAATATGCATTCTAACAAGTTAGAATAGCTAATTAGTTTTTAAAAGTTTCATTTCAAAATCAAGACTTGTAAAAAAACAGATGTTTTGGCCATTTGCTTATTAAACTATAAATATTAAAGCAAAAGTTATTTAGAGATATGATACACTCATGGCACAACTATTAGCGCTTTCTTCAAATAGCAACTTCAGACATAATAAACACTCATAATCTTTTTGGTTTATGATTCTAGTTTGTAAGATTTTCCATTTTTAAAAATTGTATTTATTTACAACCTGCCTTGTTCCAGAAAAGATTCAAGGTAGGGTTTCCAATTAAGTTTATAGAAAAGCATATCCTCCCAACTTTACAGAGTCAGGAAAAAAAAAAGCTAAAAGCTTTTTATCATAACCTTTTAATTTTATCCTCTTGCTTGCGGGCATGTTGTTTAAGTAAAATGTTCTCATCATGCAAACGTAAAAATCTGTCTTCCAGTTCCTCACGACTGATACGTGACACTGCTTGGCGAGACTTCATTGTCCGTGTTGTTGAAGTTTCTGCAAAAATGCCAAGGTAATTAATAGTAGGATTACTTAAAATAGTCTCTAAAAATGATAACTGTTGATATTAACATAATCTTTGATGTACTCATCTCAGATATTTTTCCTTTGTGACCTACAATTAAGACTGCTTTAGAAAATGTTATAGCATTGCTCATTTAACCAATTGGAGGTAAGAATAAAAATCCTTACTATTAATACTTTTATGCAATATTAAAGATTTGAGCAACAATAGTATCCAATCAAAAATGTATTCAAATAACCATCTTTAAGAATATAAGATGGAACTCTGATTCCAAGAGTACTTTTCAGTTTATACGCTGAATGTTGAAAATACTAAAACTAAAAGTCAGGGTTTCTAGAAGTACTTTTTTTCCTTAGAAGGTAAGAGGTGTAACAATAACAGTATGATGAAGATATTTTCCTGTGTTATGGGTGCTGGGTTATAGAAAATAAACTATAAAATCTGCAAGACCAAATAAACAAACAAAAACCTTCATAAATCATTTATAAGCTATTATATGTTTTTAAAGAACTTTTACACCTTTTAGCATGTATGTGATTTTTTTTACATATGCCTAAATTTAGTTTTTTCCTGTGAAGCTCGTCAATTTTCAACAATCCTCCAAAAGAAACAAAGAATCAATGGTCAAAAATTAAAGCCCTATGAGGGGGTTACAGAGGGTAAGAACTAAACTTAGGGTATCAAAGCCCAATAAATAGCTCTACACACTTAAAATTTATTTGTACTTGAATCCCTGATACTCCACCAAAGATCTGAAGCAAAGCTTATACATTCTTTTTCACTTTCAACAGTAAAAGCTCTGTAGTTAAATTTGTCTTTTTCAATGACCAACACTTTGACCACCTTTCTGTGGTAGTCAGGGCGGCTGCTCACCATGTTTTAACAAGGGTGTGAAGAAGTCTTAGTGGAATCACATCACACCCTTCTCAATGACAAATGCTATGGCATGACAGCATGGCTGACATGCTGGACACACAAAGAAAAACACAGCTCTACACTCTAAATTATTCCTTAAAGCCATACTTCTCTTTCTTAATTTGAAAGTGCTTTTCAGCACTGCAGCAATGACCAAGTGATAAAAGGACAAAGAAAATCTTTAATGTGTATTAATTTGATAAAACAAAGTCAATATCATTTGGATAAACAAACCATTTTGAGATACTCTACTTGAAAAGCAAAAAATTTTTAAATATGGCATTTCCTCCCATATAAAGAAACATTTTAATGGTGAATGTGATTTAAACCAGGCAATTCGGTTTGGAGGCTTGGATACTCTCTGTGTAGTTTCTACTGATGTGCGGAATTTTAAAAAGATGATTTATAACAATTCTTTATCAGAACAGAGGGGGATTTTACATTTTCTATGAGCTGTTGATAATTGATGCGTGCAGTAAAATACCATATGTTGGTCTAAATTCCCCATCTTCTTGTTTAGTCCAATCAAGAGCTATATAGTTACTTAAATGGCTTTGTTTGTATGAATATCAGAAATACTTTAAATTAAAAGTAAAGAAGTTACTGATCAAAGTTCATAACTGTAATAAATAACAGCTGGCCGTACCTTGTAACCCTCCCACTCCAAAGAGATTCAGACCTATATCTTTCACAGGCAGGTCTCCTGCAGTCTCATCAGCTGGACCAGACATTGCCTATCTGCGGAGAAAAGAAAATTCAAATAAAATCTTTCCAGGTTGTAACATTAACTATGCTATGGAATGAACCAAATAAAATGAGTAAGTCACTAGAACGTTAATGGACATCTTATTGCCCACATGTGCTGATCAAAGAAGATGAAAGCGTCTATTTTAAAAGTAATACTACATTCAATCATGGAGCCAGCGTTCCTTTCAACAGTATATTTCCTACAGTTTGCTTAGGAAATGAGGTAAGATTAGCATTCTTCCTTCTCTCTTCTTCTAATACTCTATCTGAAACAAAAACCAACTCCCTCAGATTTAAGAAATACCTCCTCTCCATCCTCCATCCCCTTCTTTGCTCCCCAAAGAAAGCAGGTATCTTGGAAAAAGCTCACGTCAGGAACTTGATTCAAATGTTTGTTCTACTACTTACTGGCTGGTCAAGTCACCTTGAAGGAGTTTCAGCTCCTTCACTTTAAAAATGGAGAAAACAATACTTATCTCCTAGTTATTTTAAATATAATAGAGATTAAAAGCATTTAGTACATTTGCCTGGGATGTCAATATTACATGAATATTAATTTTCAGCTTGATGCACAAAGAAGTGGGTGGTTCCAGGTTCTGTGAAAGAAGCTTCATAAATTCAACAGCTGGGTTTGTTTTTGTTGTGTCCTGTCTTTGTTGCCATGAGGCCCAGGTCCCAGGGCTTCCTACCTCCACAGACAGGCTCTCCAGCTAATTCTGGCATTTTTAGTTTCTGTTCTTTACAGAAATGCACCACAGTAAATTAGTTTTACATGTGGATGTGAGCGGCCCATGCAAAGCCTAGTATTGCAAAAAAAAAAAAATATTATTCTCATTTCAATCTACCCAGAAAGTCAAATGCAAATTACCAGTGAAGATGCCCTGCAGCAGAGGTTCCCAATCTCTAGTATGTTGGTCCTAGAATGTAAAGTCTGAGAGTAGCAAGCTGCTTTGTCTTGCCCACCTCTGTAGTCTCAGAAGCTGGCACAGAGCTGGGTACATAGCCGGCATTCACTAAACAGTTGTTGAGTGAATGACTGGAGTCCTTGGGGCTTCAGGGTCCATGGATCCAGAGATGGCTTTCAGAATCTTATATGCATATGTATATATGCATTCTCTTTTAGGGAGAGGTGTAATAACTTTTACTATAAGTCATCAAAGGTTGCAAACTGTTGCATTTCACCATGACATGAACAGCTAACAGACATACGACTGGGAGATCATCTACTCCTTTTGGAAACATTGCTACAGGAAAGGTCAATTTAGGAAAATTAGCAAGAAGTTTAAACACAGAACACTTGTGAAAATGACATCTTTTCCATGAGAGAGTTATGGTATCTTTTATAATAACAACAACGATGATGATGGTGTTAACATTTATTGAATGCTTACTAAATTGTGCCAGGGGACTCTTCTAAGTGCTCTACTTATATGGATTAATTAAATATCTCACAATATCCTCGTGAGGTTGTTACTCAAATGGTTCCTGCTTTACGAATGAAGAAACTGAGATGCAGCTTAGGTAACTTGGCCAAGGTCACACATCTAAGTAGTTGTCTGGTCAGTAGTTGTCTGGTCCTATTTTTAATTGTCACAGCTGGGAAGCAGGGGGGGCAGGGTTACTGGCATCTAGAGGCCAGAGATGATGCTCAACATCCTACAGGGCACAGGAACCACAACAAAGAATTATCTGGCCCCAAATGTTAACAGTGCCCAGGCTGAGAAACCCTGCGTAGTGCTGCAGTGCCTCCCCAGGAACTGTCTGTGCGATCCCTCCTTGCTCACTATGAGCTGCACACACTGTTCTCCTTTAGGTTCTTCAAATCCACGGTACACTTGTCTTGTTCAAGGCCTTTGCATTAGCTGCCACCTCATTCTTTGGGACTCCGCTCAAATGTCACTTCCAGAGAGGCCTTCCCTGATCGTCCTATGTTAGCATATTCTTCCTCCCAACTTCAGCACTGTTTATTTCTTTTACAGCTATCATCTCGATCTGAAATTATCTTATTTACTAGTTCATTACTGCTTCACCTTTACTAATAAACTATAAGCATCTCGAGAGCGTTATCAGTCCTGTTCATAGCTGGTCGGCAACAGTGTTTGGTACGGGGTGGGCACCAATACTAAGGTTAAGTGGATGAATAAATGAATACTGGCACTGAGACTAAAATGGTAAACAAAGTCTCCACCTTCATGGAGTTAATAGGCTACGGGGTAATCACGATAAACAAATAATTGTAAATAATTAAGCAAACAATAGGTTACTCCGGAGGCTTAGGGTTTCCCAACCAACTCCTAACCCGGGGCAAACGAGCAAACTGTTTATGTGACCCTCTACTTGAAGAAGGACTTGGACAGGCACGGCAGTTACTCTCACCAGCTAGGGTTTAGGGCTGGGATGGAAAATTTCAAACCAGAGTGGGGATAATGGGCGGGCTCTCAGTCAGGCCTGAGGAGGTGGAGATGTCTCGTGCTGGGCTGCTCTTCACGCGAGCAGAACTCCAGGGCCTTCTCCAGGCCGTAGAGCAGACCCCGGGACCCCGGCCCGTGCTGCAGGTAGAGGGTCGACCACCTGCACCCCCTCTTCTCCCCCGGAGTACTCACCGCCACTCTCTCCCCGCCGCTAGCTACCGTTGCTATAGAGCCGACGGCGTGTGGGGCGGCTGGCCAAGAGGAGCACGGGAAAAACATGGCAGGCCCCGTTGCCTCCTGGGAAGTGTAGTTCTCTTTGCGCCCTAGCCAGTCAGCTTGCTGCGCCGCGGACTACGCTCATCCAGCTGTTGGACCTGGGACATTCTCTTGCTCCAAAGCCCGAGGCTCATTTCGGCGTCGCCGCACTGCATTCTGGGAGTGGTAGTTGTCGGAGCTCGAAGGAGAACGGCACCAGGCGGGAGCAGGACGCGGAGAGAACTACATGCAGGAGGCGGGGTTCAGGGCAAAGAATCTACGCGTCTAGCAGTGGCGAAGGCAACTACAGCAGCAGCATGAAGCGAACCCCGACCGCCGAGGAACGAGAGCGCGAAGCTAAGGTATGTCGGGCTCTCCGGAATCTGGGATCTTTCGTGCGCTTGTAGCTGGGGGCTGGGAACCGGAAGGGCTTAGTTGGACCGCGAGCGGACCCACGGTCTTAAGCCAAGGGATGACAAGGCCTTGTCAGTAAGGGAGCTGGAGACTTGGAGGTTATAAATTCGTGCAGCTCGGAATGCAGGCCTAGTCCTGTTGGATCAACTCACCTAAGAATCAAGACACTCATTTAATTGCCCTGCTATCTGCACCCAATTCCTTGGTTAAACTTGTAGCTACCCTTGTGCCTCAGTTTATCGGACTCTAAGCTGCCTGTGATTAGACCAGTTGTGCTGTACTCTTCGGTAATGGTTTTTGACGACTGTGACCGGTTTAGGTGAAATATCTGTGCGGTCAGATGTGTTTATTTGGAACAGTTGCCTATATTGTGTCTTCAGTGCAACGGATATGGACCTTTAACTACAATCCTATTTCCTACTTTTGAGTTTTCACCCTCTCACAGTTGCCATTCCATGGGATGACAGTAATCATAGAAATAGCGTTTTTTTTGTTTTTTGTGTTTTAGCATTTATTATGTCAGGTTCTGCGTTAAGTTCATAACATTTATATTATTTCCTATTCTTATCACAGCAGATTGTAAGATAAGATATTTCACAGATGGAGTATTAACAGTACTGTTAAACCGATGAAGACTTGAGGCTCAGAAGAACTGAGTGTTTTCTTTATTCCCCAAATCAAATCCTATTGATTTGTCTAAATACATTGGTACTCTGTTCACTTTTTTCCATCTTCACCACCTTAGCCAAGCTATCATTCCCTCTTTAGTGAACCATTCCAGTAGTCTCCTTATTGGTCTGTATTCAGTCTACGCCCTAATACACCTTGCTCCCCTTATGTCCCTCCTCCCGCACAACCAGTCTCTTCTCCACACTGCTGTGTGTGAGCTTTTCAAAATGCAGGTCTCATCATGGCCCTTTCCTTTCTACCTCCTCTGCCAAACACCTGTTTAAAAATCTTCCATGGCTTTCTGTTGCTCTCAGAGAAAGACAAAACTTCACGTGGCCTACGGTGTTTTGCATGGTGTAGACCCTCCCTGCATCATCCACAGTCTCAGTGGACATGACTGCTTCCCTGCTCTGCCCATCAGCCACTTTGGCCTTCTTAGAAGTCCCTCCTTCCTGTGCTTTATCTGGTTACAGGGCCTTTACACATGCTGTTTGTTGCCTGCTCTGTATTAGGCAGTTATTGAAAGTGGGAACTATTGGTGAATGAAACAGACATAGTTTGTGCTGTCATAGAATCTTCAGTCCTACAAATGAGTTTGTCTTAGGGCAATACCTCTATGGATTTAAAACATAAAATGTGCTCTCTTATGACCCGAGTTATAACAAAGTTTCACCAGGGACCTGGAGTTTCCATGGTTGCATCTGTATTTGATAAGGGCAATGTATATATACATATATATTTTTAAAATTTTAATTTTTTTACTAAAGAATTATTGATTTATAATATTGCAGTAGTTTCTGATGTACACCAGCGTGATTCAGTTATACATATACATACATATTCTTTTTCATATTCTCTTCCATTATGGTTTATTACAAGATATTGAGTATAGTTCCCTGTGTTATAGATTAGGACCTTGTTGTTTATGTATTTTATACATAGTAGTTTGTATCTGCTAATCCCAAACTCCTAATTTATCTCTCCCCTACTTTCCCCTTTGGTAACCATAAGTTTGTTTTCTATGCCTGTGAGTCTGTTTTTGTTTCATAAATAAGTTCATTTGTGTCCTATTTTGGATTTCACATATAAGTGGTATCATATTGTATTTGTCTTTCTCTTTCTGGTTTACTTCACTTATTGTGACAGTATCTAGGTCCACCCATGTTGCTACAAATGGCATTATTTCATTCTTTTTTATGGTTGAGTAGAATTCCGTTGTCTATACATACCACATCTTCTTTATCCATTCATCTGTTGATGGACATTTAGGTTGCTTCCATGTCTTGGCTATTGTAAATAATGCTATTATGAACATTGGGGTGTATGTATCTTTTTGAATTAGAGTTTTCTACAGATATATGCCCAAGAGTGGGATTCCTGGATCGTATGGCAACTCTATTTGTAGTTTTTCAAGGAACCTTCATACTGTTTTCCACAGTGGCTGCAAACTACATTCCTACCAACAGTATAGGAGGGTTCCCTTTTTTCCACACCCTCTCCAGCATTTGTTATTTGTAGACTTTTTAATGATGGCCATTCTGACTGGTGTGAGGTGATACCTTATGGTACTTTAACTTGCATTTCTCTAATAATTAATGATGAAGGGCAGTATATAAAGATGGGTACAAAGATCCTTCTGCATCAGTCTACAGTGGTACAAAAACAAGTATCACATAGTGGTATTGTGCCTGATGTCATTATCTTTTGGGTTGACATTTAAAGTTACTCATTATTCTATAAAGATTTATTTAGCGCCTGTTATTTGCCAGACACTGGAATTATAATTTTGGCTAAGGTAGAATCCCTGCACAAAGGCGCTTTTGCTCTACTGAGACTATAACTATTGTTTACGAGGTAGTTGTTATTGTCATCTGCATTTGGTGGATGTTGAAACCGAGGCATGTAGAAGTTACAACTTGCCCGAGGCCACTTGGTTGCTATGTGGAACGAGGGCCCAGAACCAGGTCTTCTGATTCCAAGCTTTTTTCCATTTTCTGCTTGTGAAACTTGTTGAATTGATAGAGCAAGTTGTCTGCCTGTTTACTTAGAAAAATTTCTTTGATCTTTATTTAAATTTTGTTTATTTGTGAAATGCTACTAGTTAGAACAAAGTATAGGGAATTAAGTTTTAAATCTTAAATATAAAAGGTTCATTTGCTCATGAATTATTTTACCTTTTTCTAATTAACTTTACTGAGGTGTAGTTTACATACAGTAATTTGCACCATTTATAATGTATGGTTTGATGAGTTTTGACAGATGTATACCACCTGTAAACCACCACCGCTGTTGATATAGAGAACATTTCAGTTTCCTCCTGCTGATTTACAGTCAGTCTGTTCATCCACCTTGGCTCCCCAGCACCACGGATAGATTTTCTATCACTGTATTTTCTAGAGTTTCATATAAATGAAAGTATACTATATGTACTCTTGGGTCTGTCTGCTTTCACTCAGTATAATGATTTTGGAGATTTATTTATGTTGTCTGCATCAATAGTTCCTTCCTTTTTATTGCTAATTAATGGTCTACTATGTAGATCTACCACATTTGTTTATTCATTGACTTGTTGTTGAACATTTGGATTGTTTCTGGTTTTGGGCTATTATGAAAAACTGCTATGACCATTCGTGTGTAAGTCTGTGTTTCCATTTCTTTTGGATAAATACCCAGGAGTCCAGTTGGTGGGTCATATGATTGTCCTGTATTTAACCTTGTAAGAAGTTCCTAAACAATTTTCCAAAGTGATTCTTCCATTTGTATTAGTTTTCTAGGGCTGCTGCCACAAGTTGCCACAAACTTGATGTCTTAAAACAAGGCAAATTTATTCCCTCATAGTTCTAGAAATGAGTCTGAAATCCAGGTATTGACAGGGCCTGTGAAAGCTCTAGGAAGTGTCCTTCCTTGCCTCTTCCCACTTTGGGTGACTCTTGGCATTCCTTGCCTTGGGCTTTATAACTTCAGCCTCTGCTCCTTTCTTTCCTTGGCTGCCTTCTCTGTGTTTCTGTGACTTACAGCTCTCTCTCTTTCCTCTTCTAAGGACACCAGTCATTGCATTGAGGGCCTACCCTAAATCTAGGATGATCTTAATTTCATGATCCTTAGCTTAATTACATTGGCAAAGACCCTTTTCCCAAGTAAGATGACATTTATAGGCACCAGTGTTTAAGACTTGGATATATCTTTTTGAAGGTACCATTCAAACCCACTATACTACTTTACATTTTCATCAGCTGTGTATGAGACTTCTAGTTGCTCCATATTCTCACCAATACTTGTTATTGTCCATCTTTTAAATTTTAGCCATTAAGTTTTAGTGGACATGTAGCAGTATCTCATTGTGGTTTTAATTTGTATTTCAGTGATGACTAATGTGGATGAGTATCTCTTTTAAAAGCTTTTTCCGGGTTGTAGCATGTATCAGTACTTTGTTCTTTTTTATTACAAAATAGTATTCCCATGTCTGAATGTACCAATTTTTTTTTTCCATTTTGTTTTCAAATTCTAGGCATTGGTTTTTATTTTCTTTATTAGTTTCATGGGTTTTTTTAAAAAATTTTTTTAAAACAACTTTATTGCGGTATAATTTCTGTGCAGTAAACTACACATATTTCAGATGAGAATGTACCACATTTTGTTTAATTCATTCACCAGTTGATAGATATTTGGGTTATTTCCACTATTTGGCTATTATGAATAATGCTGCTATGAATATTTGTGTTCTACTTTTTATAAGTATATATTTAAAAATTTCTTTTAAGTAGAGATCTAGGAGTGGAATTGCTGGGTCATATGGTAAATCTCTGTTTAACATTTTAAGAAACTGCTGCACTGTTTATTATGGTCTGAGTGTTTGTGACCATCCCCCACCTTCAAATTCTTATGTTGAAATTCTAACCCCCAAGGTCATAGTCTTGGGAGGTAGAGCCTTTTGGAAGTGATTAAGTAGTTAGGAATGGAATTAGTCCTCTTATAAAAGAGGCC